TCCCTCTCTTTCTCAGACTATTACCTCTCTTTCTTTAGTGGGCGTTTCTAGCCTGACACTGGCCTAATGAATGAGCAGGATGATTTATGGCAAGAGGGGAGAAAGGGAGCGGGGGGGGGGGGGGGGGGGGGGGGGATATGGGAGTTTGGTATTTTTGGTATTGTATTAGGATCCCCATTAACTGTTGCAAAAGCAACAACTACTCTTCCTGGGGTCCACACAAAACATGAAACATGACACAATACAGAACATTAATAGACAAGAACAGCTCAAGGACAGAACTACATAAACAATTTTTAAAGGCACACATAGCCTGCATATCAATACATACACACAAACTATCTAGGTCAAAGAAGGGGGTAAGGGGTCTTCCAGGATGCCCATGAGGGTGGGAGGTAAGTGGGGTGAGGTTTGATGGTGTTGAGAGGGCCTGTGAGCTAGTATGTCAGCATATCCTGTACTCTGGCTGCTAAAATTCTCGACCGTTGCTATTCGAACTTCCGGGATGCTTATAAGGCCCTCCCCCGCCCTCCTTTCGGTAAATCTGACCAAGACTCCATTTTGCTCCTCCCTTCCTATAGGCAGAAACCCAAACAGGAAGTACCTGTGTTAAGGACTATTCAACACTGGTCTGACCAATCGGAATCCACGCTTCAAGATTGTTTTGAACACGTGGACTGGAATATGTTCCGGGTAGCTTTAGACGAATACACTGAAACGGTGACTGAGTTTATCAGGAAGTGTATAGGAGATGTTGTGCCCACTGTTACTATTAAAACCTACCCTAACCAGAAACCGTGGATGGATGGCAGCATTTGCACAAAACTGAAAGCGCGAACCACCGCATTTAACCATGGCAAGGTGACTGGGAATATGGCAGAATACAAACAGTGTAGCTATTCACACGACAGGCAAAATGTCAGTATAGAGACAAAGTGGAGTCGCATTTCAACGGCTCAGACACGAGACATATGTGGCAGGGTCTACAGACAATCACAGACTACAAAAGGAAAACCAGCCACGTCTCCGACACCAACATCTTGCTTCCAGACAAGCTAAACACCTTCTTCGCCTGCTTTGAGGATAACACAGTGCCACCGACGCGGCCCACTACCAAGGACTGTGGGCTCTCCTTCTCCGTGGCCGACGTAAGACATTTAAGCATGTTAACCCCCTCAAGAGCATATTCAATCTCTCCCTATCCCAGTCTGCTGTCCACACATGCTTCAAGATGGCCACCATTGTTCCTGTACCCAAGAAAGCAAAGGTAACTGAACTAAATGATTATCGCCCCGCAGCACTCACCTCTGTCATCATGAAGTGCTTTGAGAGACTAGTCAAGGATCATATCACCTCTACCTTACCTGTCACCCTAAACCCACTTCAATTTGCTTACCGCCCCAATAGATCCACAGACGATGCAATCGCCATCACACTGCACACTGCCCTATCCCATCTGGACAAGAGGAATACCTATGTAAGAATGCTGTTAATTGACTATAGCTCAGCACTCAACACCATAGTACTCTCCAAACTCATCATTAAGCTTGAGGCCCTGGGTCTGAACCCCGCCCTGTGCAACTGGGTCCAGGACTTCCTCACGGGCCGCCACAAGGTGGTGAAGGTAGGAAACAACACCTCCACTTTGCTGATCCTCAAAACAGGGGCCCCACAAGGGTGTGTGCTCAGCCCCCTCCTACACTCCCTGTTCACCCATGACTGCGTGGCCAAGCACGCCTCCAACTCAATCATCAAGTTTGCAGACGACACAACAGCATTAGGCTTGATTACCAACAATGACGAGACAGCCTACAGGGAGGTGGTGAGGGCTCTGGGAGTGTGGTGCCAGGAAAATAACCTCTCACTCAACGTCAACAAAACAAAGGAGATGATCGTGGACTTCAGGAAACAGCAGAGGGTGCACCCTCCTATCCACATTGACGGGACCGCAGTGGAGAAGGTGGCAAGCTTCAAGTTCCTTGGCGTACACATCACTGACAAACTGAAATGGTCCATCAACGCAGACAGTGTGGTGAAGAAGGAGCAACAGAGACTCTTCAACATCAAGAGGCTAAAGAAATGTGGCTTGGAACCTAAAACCCTCACAAACCTTTACAGATGCACAATTGTGAGCATCCTGTCGGGCTGTATCACCGCCTGGTACGGCAACTGCACCGCCCGCAATCGCAGGGCTCTCCAGAGAGTGGTGCGGTCTGCCGAATGCATTACCGTGGGCAAACTAACTGCCCTCCAGGACACCTACAGTGCCCGATGTCACAGGAAGGCCAAAAAGATCATCAAGGACATCAACCACCCGAGCCACTGCCTGTTCACCCCACTATCATCCAGAAGGCGAGGTCAGTACAGGTGCATCAAAGCTGGGACTGAGTGACTGAAAAACAGCTTCTATCTCAAGGCCATCAGACTGTTAAATAGCCATCACTAGCACATTAGAGGCTGTTGCTGCCTATAGAAATCACTGGCCACTTTAAGAAATGGAACACTAGGCACTTTAATAATGTTTAAATATCTTGCTCATCTCATATCTTACTCATCTCATATGTATATACTGTATTCTATAATATTCTACTGTATCTTAATCCATGCCGCTCTGTAATTGCTGATCCATATATGTATATATTCTTAATTCCATTCCTTACTTAGATTTGTGTGTATTGGGTATATGTTGTGAAATTGTTAGGTATTACTTCTAAGATATTACTGCACTGTCGGAGCTAGAAGCACAAGCATTTCGCTACACCTGTAATACCATCTGCTACACACGTGTATGTGAAAAATAAAATGTGATTTTGATTTTTTATTTGTGGATGTGGTGTTTAGGTGTACATGAACATCGCTACGCTAAGGTAGAAGTACTTTTATATCAGTCGTACATCATTGTTTTGTGTTGTCTCTGTCGAGCTCAGCTATATTAGGTATATGAGTTGGTCTGAATGTGTTAATTCGGAGGCACGTGTATAATATTTTATTTGTGACCAGACTTACATAGTAGTGCATCCTGATTAACTACACAGGAATGCATTGGAGCTCCACAGGACGTAGTTCCATCCCCACTCCCTTTTGAATTTCTCCTTGATCCAGCTAGACCCAAAACACTGTCAACTCTGCAACATGCCTTGTTGTTCAAGTGCACAACAGTAGGCTACAGTACAGTACAAAGAAAACCCATCATGTCTTTTTTAAGTTCACTGCTGGGGCACAATGACAGTAGCACTAGCAGGACACTTTATGGCGTGTGTGTGTGTGTGTGTGTGTGTGTGTGTGTGTGTGTGTGTGTGTGTGTGTGTGTGTGTGGTGTGTGTGTGTGTGTGTGTGTGTGTGCGTGCGCGCGCACATAAGGCACCTCGGGTTGTGTGTGATGTCTCAGGTGGGCAGAGGAGAGTGTTTTTTTTTTTCCCACTCTCTGAACTCTAGGCAAAGGCCCCTCACATTGGCAATTTCATGCTTCTCCGTGCAGAGCCAACCAGGTGGAATGTACTGTGAATAGTCAGAGGCTTCAGGAGGAAAATAATGAAAACATGACTTCATCTAAGCTTTTACACTTTCACTCCACCTAACAGTTCTCCCCCAAACCAAAAGTTTGTCAGATGTTTTCAAAGTTACCTAAAGTTGAGTGTAAATTCTACATAATCTGTTGTGTAGATCCAGCTTTCTGCAGTAGGAGAAATCTTTGGATCTTGGTGCCAAATCTTCCTATAAATTTGGATTTGGTTTTATTATAGTTGTACACTGTAAACATGTATTAGTATACATTCTTATGAAACACTTTTAAGGTCAACTGCCCCTTGGAACCAACTTGTATGGTTTTAAACGGCCTATGTGGCATCAATATAAGTCAGAAACATAAATTCTAGTGTCAAAATTGACTACAAAGTGTAAATAGGATAATTTTGCTCATAAAGTCAGTCTCTATTTTGTGAGTTCGTCACAATTTACTGGAGGGTTGGGATAACAATCATGCCCACTTGCGCAGTGCCCACTAACACTAGAGAAGCAGCTGTGCTGATTGCGCTCTATCCAATCATAGCAGGCAGAACCTCCAGACAGTGAGATAGACCTGCCGATTACGCAGCAACTTTGTAACATGATTCCCTATGAAACACTGCCAGACAGACACACACTCTGGCTCTAGATAGTGAGAAAGTTGTAAAAAACTAATTGGCACCGAAGCACACAAGTCGCCACTCTCCAATGACCTGATCAGCTGATTGTGGACCGGCTGCTCAATGTGCCTGCTAGCTACCACTTGCTAGCTTCATTGACAAACACAGAGTTAGCTAACTAGAAATTGATTTTGGGCCACTGATGAACAGTGTGTAGCTTGTGCTTTACAGTATGTACGATAGTTTGACAGCAGATGTAGACATGTTATTGTTCTAAGAAATCAGTCCTGAGCGTGGAGCCAGACTTTCCCGACTGGATATACTGTATGAAGTGCACTGACTAGTTTTTCATGCACATTTTTTTACTTGAGAAATACTGCACCAAAGACCTTAGCAAGATATAAAATTGCACGACTAAGACCTCAGCAAAAACATCTAAATTAATGACAGATTTGGGTGTGAACAACACGTACAACTCCGATACAAAGTGTATTTTCTCAAAGTTGCTGGGATGTCACGTGTCCTACATATATCAGTACTCGTAACAAGCTAAGCATTACGAAACTTCCATTCAGTCAAATAAGCCACACATAGTAAATAAGCCGTTAATTGTTTTGTTAACCAATCTGCTGGAGAAGACAGATTTTGGGCGCAGTTATCCCTCTCGCTTCGCCTCTTCCTCTCTGACATAGCACACCCACGTCAAACCACACCCCCAAGACAGTCTCATTTGGCTTCAGTCATGGCCGCTAGCATTTCTTAATGTGCAATCTTCAAAACGATGCCAAATCAGTGTAGTCGCCCTGTAAAGTAAAAAAGTGTATTTATTGTTCAACAAATGTATTTTATTGTATTTTTACAAAACAACAAGACTACCAAAAAGTTAGTCGACAGAACAGGTCATTTCGGTTTTTTTTTAACAGAATACACAAGTCATCGCACAGTTGCAGCAACACTCCTTCAAAAGTGACGGTTGCAATCTTTTCACAACGTCGTCTGTCCGTCAGTTCACAACAAGCTTTCTCTGTAAAAAAAAAGAAGGTAGAAAATAACGACATTCTTATCGGACCACAGGCGATAGGGATCCAAAGACGACAGAGAAGACAGGCAGAGGCGTCCTGAGAGGACGAGGACCCCTGCAGTGTTATCTGTCCGGCCGGCTGCCTGACAACAACACACGTTGTGCTTCATATTTTTAGTTGTTTCTCCGCCACAACAAGTGCAATAGCCTTTATGCTTTTCGAACGGTATGCATTTCTACAAAAAAGAGGTTGGCACATTCAAGACATTAACTTTTTATAATAATGGACATTTTTTACATTTGTGTTTTTCCTTATAAATACAATATAATTTTTCTTTCCCTGTATCCAGAGACCACGTAAAAAGAGTACAGAGATGTCTATTTACAAATGAATGCGGGATGAGCCCAAGGGTCATAAATAATCATAATAATAATTAAAAAATGTTGTTCTTCTTCCATTGTTCCTTAGAATGTGATCTTATTCTTTATTTTCTAGCTTTTTGCTGCGATGGAAAAAAAGAAAATGGGAGGCATCAAAGGAAGGTGTTTTGTTTTTCCGTGAGAGGGTTCCTGTATCCACTTATCTCATTTCCTGAAAAAGACAGAAAACGTGTCAGAAAACATGTGAAAAAAGGAACAAAAAGCAGAAAGCCAAGGCTTGTTTTTTTTCTCAAAATTATTATCTGCACATAACAGGTAGGAGCTCAAAAATCACAAAGTTAGCCTACATCGCTAGATATATAACAACATTTATTTGATTTGTCAATTCATTTTCAAAACGGAAACCAAAACCAGCTATACAACTAAATCAGAGGTGGCTCCTAAATTATAAAATGTTGGAAGAAAACCCAAATTTGGACTAATAACCATATAATGTTTCTAAACCAGGGAAAAAAAACCTATTCAGCTCTATCTCACTGTAACCCAAAACGCTGGTCAACAGCCCTATGGGAGCAGCTCTTGTTCGTCCTTCATAGACTACTTGACTCAGTAATCACATGGGGGATTGGCCGTTAAACAAGGAAGTCAAGATCTGAGGGAGTCACACAAAACACATCCCCCACTGGGGGGTAAAGACCCTTGCCCCTACCCCCCATCCAAACCAGGCCCCCCATTCACCCACTCTGTCAAAGTGGAAAGATAACGCTCAGCACCGTGACAGGATAGGGGTAACCCGAAACTGTCTCCGCAGTGAAACACACAGCCCATCTTTTGTAAGACCCTAGCTTTAATGTTCCTGGTGGAGCACAAAGGGCAGTGGAGGTGAGGGGGGCATCAGAGTGAGTTCCTGGGTAGTCCACGGGGGGGGGGGGGGGGGGGGGGGGGGGGAGTTCTGTGAGGCTTTCCCCATGTTAGATCTCTGATGCAGGTCAAAGGTGAACGACCTAACATTGGGCCACCTATTGCCTGAGAACCATCAGATCTGTAGGACAGTATCTGGACTGACAGAGCCAATTCTGCACCTAATAAATGAGGTCATCAAGTACTAATTGGCTAAAGCTCTACTGAGCATAGCCTAGCTGAATGAATGACAAAGGTAGACGTGGTGATAGGTTGGCTTAGTGGGTAAGGGTTGTGCCAGTAACCAAAAGGTCGCTGGTTCTAATCCCGAGCCGACTAGGTGAAAAATCTGTCGATGTGCCCTTAAGCAAGGCACTTAACCCTAATTGCTCATGTAAGTCGCTCTGGATAAGCGCGTCTGCTAAATGAGTAAAATGTTGGTAGATGCTTTATATCTGGCAACATTAAGACACTTAATACTACAATATTACAAATTGTCTGTTTAGGTCGAGGTACAATGGTCGCAACAATGGCAGATGAAAGCTAGAAACACAGTGCAAGTTACCACTGGGAATCACCATGGGCGCTCAGTGTAAATGCAATGTACCAGTAAGTGGTTGTACAGTAGGTTAACTATTAAAGTAATTTAGAAAAGATGTCAAAATGTTGTTGTGGTTGTTTCTTTTCTAGTCTTTTTTAGCCCAGGGGGCATACTACACAGCTTGTACCCACTTAAAAGGCCTTCTACCCCCTGACTAGGGAGCCTGCGGAGAGTACACTTAAAGCAGTGATCACACAGAGAAGTGTACACTCAGTAGTGCACAACAGAGGGAGAGTGGGGTGGGGGGCTGGGTTTGATATTATCCCACACTGTGCAGGAGATTTTGTGTTTTGTGTGTGTGTGTGTGCGTGTGTGCGTGCCTATTTTTTATGGCAAGATCAATAATTTGTGAGCGTGTGTGTATTATAGAGAGAAATATAGTATTTGTAAGCAATAGTAGACATATATCAAAATAATATCTATACTCTTGACAGGGCTTGTCATTTTGCTCAGTTATCCCTCAAGTCAGCATTTCAATGCTAGTGAATGATTATTTAGACATGTACAGTGAGGGAAAAAAGTATTTGATCCCCTGCTGATTTTGTACGTTTGCCCACTGACAAAGACATGATCAGTCTATAATTTTAATGGTATTTGAACAGTGAGAGACAGAATAACAACAAAAAAATCCAGAAAAATGCATGTCAAAAATGTTATAAATTGATTTGCATTTTAATGAGGGAAATAAGTATTTGACCCCTCTGCAAAACATGACTTAGTACTTGGTGGCAAAACCCTTGTTGGCAATCACAGAGGTCAGACGTTTCTTGTAGTTGGCCACCAGGTTTGCACACATCTCAGGAGGGATTTTGTCCCACTCCTCTTTGCAGATCTTCTCCAAGTCATTAAGGTTTCGAGCCTGACGTTTGGCAACTCAAACCTTCAGCTCCCTCCACAGATTTTCTATGAGATTAAGGTCTGGAGACTGGCTAGGCCACTCCAGGACCTTAATGTGCTTCTTCTTGAGCCACTCCTTTGTTGCCTTGGCCGTGTGTTTTGGGTCATTGTCATTGTCACGGCGCCATGTACCCAAGATTTGACGGTACATGGCGCCGTCCATCGTCCCTTTGATGCGGTGAAGTTGTCCTGTCCCCTTAGCAGAAAACACCCCTAAAGCATAATGTTTCCACCTCCATGTTTGACGGTGGGGATGGTGTTCTTGGGGTCATAGGCAGCATTCCTCCTCCTCCAAACACGGCGAGTTGAGTTGATGCCAAAGAGCTCGATTTTGGTCTCATCTGACCACAACACTTTCACCCAGTTCTCCTCTGATTCATTCAAATGTTCATTGGCAAACTTCAGATGGCCCTGTATATGTGCTTTCTTGAGCAGGGGGACCTTGCGGGCGCTGCAGGATTTCTGTCCTTCACGGCGTAGTGTGTTACCAATTGTTTTCTTGGTGACTATGGTCCCAGCTGCCTTGAGATCATTGACAAGATCCTCCCGTAAAGTTCTGGGCTGATTCCTCACCATTCTCATGATCATTGCAACTCCACGAGGTGAGATCTTGCATGGAGCCCCAGGCCGATGGAGATTGACAGTTATTTTGTGTTTCTTCCATTTGCGAATAATCGCACCAACTGTTGTCACCTTCTCACCAATCTGCTTGGCGATGGTCTTGTAGCCCATTCCAGCCTTGTGTAGGTCTACAATCTTGTCCCTGACATCCTTGGAGAGCTCTTTGGTCTTGGCCATGGTGGAGTGTTTGTAATCTGATTGATTGATTGCTTCTGTGGACAGGTGTCTTTTATACAGGTAACAAACTGAGATTATGAGCACTCCCTTTAAGAGTGTGCTCCTAATCTCAGCTCGTTACCTGTATAAAAGACACTTGGGAGCCAGAAATCTTTCTGATTGAGAGGGGGTCAAATACTTATTTCCCTCATTAAAATGCAAATCAATTTATAACATTTTTGACATGCGTTTCTGGATTTCTTTGATGTTATTCTGTCTCTCGCTGTTCAAATAAACATACCATTAAAATTATAGACTGATCATTTCTTTGTCAGTGGGCAAACGTACAAAATCAGCAGGGGATCAAATACTTTTTTCCCTCATTGTATGACATTAGCACTGAACCATAGACAATATAAACAAAGATTTGTATAAATAAACCAAGATGGACCACAGCCTGTTTCCAATGGGAACAAATGAGCCAAAGTGGGCAGAACAAGCAAGGAGTGGGGCAGAGTCAAGCATGAGCTAGCGAGATCCTATTGGCGTGTTCTAGCATGGATCTGCATATTTCCGTTAGGGAACGCCTACTCTGTGAAGTGCGCATGTGCAATAACTCAATTTGCCTTTGCACTCCTTCTAAACAACGCCATTTTTTAAAACTTTTGCAAAGGGTAAAGTCTACAGAACTTAGTCCACTCTGTTCATAGCAGATTCTAGTTTTGGGAACAGAAAACTGTATTGAGATCAAATGTTTCATCGATGTGAAAGTCTGCAGAATGTTGGCCAAAATCCATCTTATTCCATCTTCTCCCACTGCCCGCCAGTGGGCTTCCTCTCACTATCATATTTGGTAGTGAGTGGAAACGCCAAGTGGATGCTTCACATTTCTACATCCATTGCAATGTCTGTCTCATTGTTCTATCTGTGATATGACTGTTATATTATCTATGCCCTGAGCTGTGTAAAGAAACTGAATACATTTGCTGAATACTGATCTGTACTTTGTTTTATTGACAAAGACCAATGCGTGGTAAAGGGGCACACTTGAATTAAATGATGTATGTATTTTCATAGTACATGGTCTATGAAAGGTGCAACATTTTTGGCCAGGTGAGATACAGCGGCTGCAGGGAAAGATCTTGAGCTGACATTCGTTAACAAGTGAATTTTTTAAAAGAGAGAAATGGACAAAGTGTTGACTATAGTATGTATAAGCTGGAAGTAGAAGCCTAAGTGTTGTTGTCCATTAGTTTACTCCAATTAGGGGAGGGATGGTAGGGTTAGGGGAAAATAATAAAGGAAAACATATAAACAAATATACAGTACCAGTCAAAAGTCTGGACACACCTACTCATTCAAGGGTTTTTCTTTATTTGTACTATTTTCTACATTGTAGAATAATAGTGAAGACATCAAAACTATGAAATAACAAATATGGAATCATGTAGTAACCAAACAAGTGTTTTGACTTGTACTGTATATATTTATAAAAAATATATATGGGGGATTGGAAATGATGCAGACAATTACATTGATAGAAGCCACAATCTATTTGCAATATTAAAGCTGATCCACCCCCTAAAATGTTTTTATAAAAACAAAATAAAGAAATAAAGAAATAATAATGAGTTGCCTATCCCTGTCTTAGCTAAAACACAAAACCTGACATTATCCTAGGTCGCCTCTTCTGTAGTATCTCTTCTCAGCCCCCAATTAATCCATAAACACCGGCAGACATTGTAGCTCCCAAGAACAAGAACCAACCATGGTCCCCTTGTATTAGCACTATTACCACTACCGTAGTGTCTCTTCTTGCCCCACTTCCTGATATGAATAGCTCAACTAAATGCAAGAGAGAAGAGAAAACCAACAGATATTGTGGCTCCCAAGAACCAGAAATCACCTCCTCACCTCGTTGCGTTTCCTGCCCAGGCAGTGACCCCCTCGTGACCCTGTGGAGCCCCGCGATGAGGAGCTTCCTGTGGTGGAGCAGTTGCTGGACATATGACCCCCCCGCCCCACCAGGTAGCTGGGTTTGCCATATGGGATCAGGTCCTCATCTGTGGAGGAGATGGGATTGGGGGAGAGGGGAGAGTTAGGGTCAAGGATCAGAGATTTACATGTTGGGAATGGAGAGTAAGAGCAATGGCTATATTCTACTGATGAGAGGGTCTTGTAGGAAGGCGGGAGTACTAAGTTGTGACTTTTTAATGGATGGATTTATGAATTGAAATGTATTCATATGTTAGTGTGTGTGAGAGAAGGTGTTCATGAGCATGATTGATTTATGTATTATTATATGTGCAAATTTAAATGTGAATGAGTATTTTCTGGGTGAATGAGTGACTGTGTTTGCGTGTGAGTGCTAATAGGCTATTGCAAAGGCTCTGGCTGGGCTTGTGTGTGTGCTGTGAATATGGGACTGAGCATGTGTGTGAACACCACACTTCAGTATTTGCACCACTCACCGTCTTGGCGTCGCCGTCCTGATCCCTTCCTGTTGGGAGTGCACCTCTCTCCTTCTCTCCTCTCTATGGACGACAAGAGCCCGGGGCCCCCCTCTCTGTCCAGGGACGTGTTGTCACAGTCTACAGCTGCTGCTGGGCCCCACACTGCTCCATTCTCTGGAGGTGGCTCTGGTGGAGGGGGGAGGTCTGGAGGAGAAGACAGACATGGACAACAGGGTTAGGGTTACACTGCGCTGGAAGAACAGTAAATATAAGCATATAGGCAAAAATACATAATGTAGGCTTTACACACAGAGAGACATGCTCATGCCCAACACACATTAATTTATTTGTTTGTTCATTCATCCAAACACGTATGCACACACACACAGGCACACACACACACCCCAGCCACGAGCTGTTCACTCCCTTACCGTCGGGCAGACGGTATCAGAGAATGACGTCTGATACCAACAGCCTCAGAGACAGTTTCTATCTACAAACTATCAGACTACTGAACACTAAAACTGGACTGACCACCTGCACTGACTCTCTGCAACTTAGCAAACATGCACTCACTCACGCACACACCCACACAGACACACACACACACACATATATACAGTGGCTTGCAAAAGCATTCACCCCCCTTGGCATTTTTCCTATTTTGTTGCCTTACAACCTGGAATTAAAATTGATTTTTGGGGGGTTTGTATCATTTGATTTACACAACATGCCTACCACTTTGAAGATGCAAAATATGTTTTATTGTGAAACAAACAAGAAATAAGATTTAAAAAAAACAGAACTTGAGCGTGCATAACTATTCAACACTTTGTAGAGACACCTTTTGCAGCAATTACAGCTGCAGGTCTCTTGGAGTATGTCTCTATAAGCTTGGCACATCTAGCCACTGGGATTTTTGCCCATTCTTCAAAGCAAAACTGCTCCAGCTCCTTCAAGTTGGATGGGTTCCGCTGGTGTACAGCAATCTTTAAGTCATACCACATATTCTCAATTGGATTGAGGTCTGGGCTTTGACTAGGCCATTCCAAGACATTGACATGTTTCCCCTTAAACCACTCAAGTGTTGCTTTAGCAGTATGCTTAGGGTCATTGTCCTGCTGGAAGGTGAACCTCCGTCCCAGTCTCAAATCTCTGGTAGACTGAAACAGGTTTCCCTCAAGAATTTCCCTGTATTTAGCGCCATCCATCATTCCTTCAATTCTGACCAGTTTCCCAGTCCCTGCCGATGAAAAATATCCCCACAGCATCATGCTGCCACCACCATGCTTCACTGTGGGGATGGTGTTCTCGGAGTGATGAGAGGTGTTGGGTTTGCGCCAGACATAGCGTTTTCCTTGATGGCCAAAAAGCTCAATTTTAGTCTCATCTGACCAGAGTACCTTCTTCCATATGTATGGGGAGTCTCCCACATGGCCTTTGGCGAAAACGTGTTTGCTTATTTTTTTCTTTAAGCAATGGCTTTTTTCTGGCCACTCTTCCGTAAAGCCCAGCTCTGTGGAGTGTACGGCTTAAAGTGGTCCTATGGACAGATACTCCAATCTCCGCCGTGGAGCTTTGCAGCTCCTTCAGGGTTATCTTTGGTATCTTTGTTGCCTCTCTGATTAATGCCTTCCTTGCCTGGTCTGTGAGTTTTGGTGGGCGGCCCTCTCTTGGCAGGTTTGTTGTGGTGCCATATTCTTTCCATTTTTTAATAATGGATTTAATGGTGCTCCGTGGGATGTTCAAAGTTTCTGATATTTTTTTATAACCCAACCCTGATCTGTACTTCTCCACAACTTTGTCCCTGACCTGTTTGGAGAGCTCCTTGGTCTTCATGGTGCCGCTTGCTTGGTGGTCCCCCTTTCTTAGTTGTTTGCACCAGATCTTATTTAGGGGCTTCATAGCAAAGGGGGTGAATACATATGCACGCACCACTTTTCCGTTATTTTTAATTGTATTTTCACTTCACCAATTTGGACTATTTTGTGTATGTCCATTACATAAAATCCAAATAAAAATCCATTTAAATTACAGGTTGTTATGCAACAAAATAGGAAAAACGCCAAGGGGGATGAATACTTTTGCAAGGCACTGTACACACATATATGAAATCCCACTCTGCCCTCCGACGAATCATCAAACAGGCAAAATGTCAATATAGGACTAAGATTGAATCCTACTACACCGGCTCCAACGCTCGTCGGATGTGGCAGGGCTTGCAAACGATTACGGACTACAAAGGGAAGCACAGCCACGAGCTGCCCAGTGACACCAGCCTACCAGACGAGCAAAATTACTACTATGCGCGCTTCGAGAGAAGCAACACTGAAGCATGCATGAGGGCACCAGCTGTTCCAGACGACTGTGTGATCACACTCTCCGTAGCCGATGTGAGTAAGACCTTTAAACAGGTCAACATTCAAAAGACTGCAGGGCCAGACGGATTACTAGGACGTGTACTCTGAGCATGTAGTGACCAACTGGCAAGTGTCTTCACTGACATTATCAACCTGTCCCTGACCGAGTCTGTTATACCAACATGTTTCAAGCAGACCACCATAGTCCCTGTGCCCAAGAACACCAAGGTAACCTGCCTAAATGACTACCAACCCGTAGCACTCACGTCTGTAGCCACTAAGTGCTTTGAAAGGCTGGTCATGGCTCACATCAACATCATTATCCCAGAATCCCTAGACCCACTCCAATTTGCATACCGCCCCAACAGATCCACAGATAACGCAATCTCTATTGCACTCCACCCTGCCCTTCCCCACCTGGACAAAAGGAACACCTAAGTGAGAATGCTATTCATTGACTACAGCTCAGCGTTCAACACCATAGTGCCCTCAAAGCTCATCACTAAGCTAAGGACCCTGGGACTAAACACCTCCCTCTGCAACTGGATCCTGGACATCCTGACGGGCCGCTCCCAGGTGGTAAGGGTAGGTAACAACACATCTGCCACGCTGATCCTCAACACGGGGGCCCCTCAGGGGTGCGTGCTCAGTCCACTCCTGTACTCCCTGTTCACCCATGACTGCATGGCCAGGCACGACTCCAACACCATCATTAAGTTTGCTGATGACACAACAATGGTAGGCCTGATCACCGACAACGATGAGACAGCCTATAGGGAGGAGGTCAGAGACCTGGCAGTGTGGTGCCAGGATAACAACCTCTCCCTCAACGTGATCAAGACAAAGGAGATTATTGTGGACTACAGGAATAGGAGGGCCGAGCATGCCCCCATTCTCATCGACGGGGCTGTAGTGGAGCAGGTTAAGAGCTTCAAGTTCCTTGGTGTCCACATCACCTACAAACTATCATGGTCCAAATACACGAAGACAGTCGTGAAGCGGGCATGACAATGCCTATTCCCCCTCAGGAGACTGAAAATATTTGGCATGGGTCCTCAGATCCTCAAAAAGTTATACAGCTGCACCATCAAGAGCATCCTTACTGGTTGCATCACCGCCTGGTATGGCAACTGCTCGGCCTCCGACCGCAAGGCACTACAGAGGGTAGTGCGTACGGCCCAGTATATCACTGGGACCAAGCTACCTGCCATACAGGACCTCTATACCAGTCGGTGTCAGAGGAAGGTCCTACAAATATATGACCAGCCACCCTAGTCATAGACTGTTCTCTCTGCTACCGCATGGCAAGCGGTACCAGAGTGCCAAGTCTAGGTCCAAAAGGCTTCTTAACAGCTTCTACCCCCAAGCCATAAGACTCCTGAACAGCTAATGAAATGGCTACCCGGATTATTTGCATTGACCCTATGCATAGTCACTTTACCTCTACCTACATGTACATATTACCTCAATTACCTCAACTAACCTGTGCCCCTGCACATTGACTCTGTACCGGTACCCTCTGTATATAGCCTCGTTACTGTTATTTTAATGTTGCTCTTTAATTATTGTTTATTTTTCTATTTTCTTCTTTTTATTTTTTTACTTCAGTTTATTTTAGTAAATACTTTCTTAACACTTATTTTTCTTTAAAACTGCATTGTTGGTTAAGGGCTTGTAAGAAAGCATTTCACTGGTTGGATATTCATGCTACTCACACATCACAACTGCTGCTACCAGACTCTTATTTTGATTGTTAAACACTCCACAATTTAAACACTTGCCCGCGAATCACCCCTTCCCCAATATTATGTGTAAATATTGGACTATAAATTGTGCCTTCCTGTATTATACTTCTATTCTACTGAGCCATTTACTTTATGTTCGTTTTCTTATCTGTTATTATTTCTTATTGCATTGTTAATTAATCTTGAAACACTAACCTCCTTGGTTCAGCACCTCTCTTCTGTAAGTCTTCTTTTTCACTCGTGACTTCTGGCCAGGGGGAGTGTGTGTGTTGTCTGCTGGGGAGGGCAGAGCTCTTACTGTAGGTCAGCCAGAGAGTACAAAAAAATTACTATAAAGGTAAAGGGGTTATGTGTCCTTTGAAGCAAATAACAACATTGCAATGTCTTATGTAATTTCAGCTCTTTGTTTAGGTATTACGAATTACATTAATTACATACCGGATATAAATAAAACATAATTTTCTGTGTGTGTTGTGTGTGCGTGCGTGTGTGTGTGCGTGCATGTACGTACATATACTGTATCTTAATTTGACCCGGTTTCTCTCCCAGGAAAATAATCCTGCAAATCAAGTCTGATATTTTAATGTGGAAATTGCTAACTTTAGAAGCCTTTTTAAGCCTTGAATACACTACAAGTTTGCATTTCCTGCTGTGCAGGAACATTCCTGAAACAACAGGATGATTCAATTAGGATACAGCATCTGTATGGATGTGTATATGCACATCTGTGTGTGGTACATTCACTCGTGTGTGTTTGTGCAGAGCGGTAAGCATCACTGACCAGGTGTGGTGGAGCTGACATTGTCAGCACTCAGCGTTGCCCCCTGGCTGAGGTCACGGCGATGGGCCGAGCCATTGCGGATCGGCGTGCCCCCCTCGGAGCCCTCACCGTGCTGCTGGGCTGAGAGGTTGGGGTTGGACTGGGTGAGGGGAGGGCTGGGCGCCCGGGGCACTGGGACGGGACCACAAGGTAACCTACTGTATAATGGCAAAGAAAGAGAGGGTGGTTAGCAATAGCAATTACATACTTTTATTACATTACACAATTGAACTATTGTTTTGTTCATTTGAGGGAGAGATTTTACTGCAAATATCATGAGTATTGTGCTATCTGCTGTTAATGACATTGGGCAATTACCATACCAAAGCATTAATTGCTTTATTAGTCTATGTTATTACCACCTCATTCATCTGAACAAGAGGGTATTCAATGCTATCCCCATTTGTATGGCTACAGTGTCTACCTGTACATACATGATGTGACTTTTAGAATTTGACTATGTTTTGTTTTGTTAGGCTGTGTCTTGTCATGTCATACCGTGCTAGATGCTGCCCGTCATTGTGGTGAAGGCATGCTGTGTCGTGGGGTGGATGGTGGCTCTCCTCTCGGGGCGATGGCGTGAGAGTGGCGGTGGACTGGTGACTGTAGGAGGTGGTGGGGGACGAGGCGCCACCCCTGAGGGGAGGGGCGGGACCATCCTCACAACCCTCGGTCAGATAGGTCCTCTCTGGAAGGGGCGGGCACCACTCTTCCTCATCAGACCTGGGAAGGAGGAGAAAGAGGAGGAGAGGGTCAGAAAAGGTTTATAACCATTCAATTAACTTTTTCCATAGGTTCACTTTAGACAGAGTAGGATGCCGTGGCCCCTAGGAACACTGATCTATGGTCAGGGGGGATGTGCATACATGCGTATGTGTAGACCATGGAGGAAATGGGCAAGGCCAGGGAGTTAGGTAATGTCATGAGGCCAACGTTCCTCTCAGCTAGCCACAGGGGCTAACTCAAAGGTTAACGGCATTAACTCAGGTTCATCACCAATCTCTGCTAACGGCTATCAGCTGCATGGGGCTAGATTGAGTGGTGCATGAGAAGGCTGCTGAATGATTATTTTGTTCTGGTGACCCGGAGAGAAGAACATGAGAAGGGGAACTGGCTAAAGTAGGCTAATGTCATTAGCTAACAGGGTCAATGTGTGAGATAGGGTTGGGACTTGGGAATAGTGGCTAAATTGCTAACTGCCTGCTAGCGTCTTGGCTAGAGCCAATGTAATCTAGCTGTCAGAAATGGTTAGAGATAGAAGTTCGTAAGCCTCATGCCTGCTTCAGTTGAGCTGCTAGCCTAGCCTATTCAGGTGGAGTGAATGGCAGTTAGGAGCGATAACTGAATGGTCCCCTTGCTAAACCTTCATGATTACTGACTTGCTGGCCTTGACAATATTGTCTTATATGTGTGTAGGCGAATGTGTGTGTATTCATTTTGCAGTGTGACAGTAATGTGGTTCAGCAGGGAACTGGAAGAAAAGGTGCATTGAGGTCCAGAGCTCGTACGGGGTTAATAATAATATGCCATTTAGCAGGCGCTTTTGTCCAAAGCGACTTACAGTCATGCGTGCATACATTTTTGTGTATGGGTGGTCCCGGGGATCGAACCCACTACCTTGGCGTTACAAGCGCCGTGCTCTACCAGCTGAGCTACAGAGGACCACAGAGAGAGACCAAAGGGGAGTCTGTCCTGTCAGACAGATAGGCAATGTTAGGCTAATGTAATTAACCTCCACACAAAACCATGGCCCAGAACTATTTGTTAGTAGGGCCTGAGAGTGCAGAGACAAGGGCCAGGAAAAAGAGAGCAAGTCAGAGGCCCATACTTCTATAGGACAGTATAGTAAGTAGCCTTGCATGAGCCAAAACGGCTCATAGGAGCAGGAGCCTATCTCCTGCTTCTGTAGCATGAGGCAGCTTGATGTACAAGTACACCCCCGGTACAGGACACTAGTCTATCGTGGGGCCTTACCCCCAATCTATCTCCTTAATGCTGAGTGCCAAGCAGAGACACATCAGGTCCTATAAAGAATGTCCATAGAGGGTATATGAGAGATCTACTGTACCTTAATCAATCAGTATTAACTTCAACTTAGCAAGAAGATGGTGTAATCATCGGTGTGTGTTGTGCCAGGCAGCATAAGTGTGTGTGTGTGTGTGTGTGCATGTGTACACGCTTATGTATATTTATATGCGTGTGTGTGTGCGCGTGCATGCGTGCTCACCCTAGCTCCATGTCCTCATGGTCATCTATGGGCAAATCCTCCACCATACACTCCTCCAGCTCCCCAAAGGAGGGGGGCGGGGGTAGGGCTTCAGTCCAGTTCATAGAAGGGGTCTTCACCGCCTTGCCCATGGACTTCTGCTTGGGTTTACCTGCACATAGACACACAAATAGTTGTTTTAGTGCTGTACAGTGGGAAGACTTGGTCCTAAGGTCTCTAAATACATTTTTATACACTTGAAAAGGGTATACATGTATATCACAAACATAACTAGAAGTCCCTCGTAATTTTTGGAGGCATGCATATGTGTTCTTGAAAAAGAAAAGGAGAGCCGTACACTCAAGGAGTTCAGATGCAATAATTTAATAACAACGTTTCTTTCGATAGCCAAGCTGTCTTCATCAGGGTATAATGACAAACACTGCGGGTCACTAGTTTATATAGAGTTTGAAAGGACACACACAGGTGTATGTAATCATGGCCGGCTGTGGCTTTATTTCAATGGTCGATTCACAGATATAAATAGAACATTTAAAAAAGCATGAATGGATAACATACGATCATAGATACAATTTGGTTACATAGTGTCACGCCCTGACGTATGGAACTCTTGTTTGTTTAGTCAGGGTGTGGAAATCTATGTGATGTATATCTATGTTTAGGATCTAGGTTGTGTTTCTATGTTTGGCCAGGTGTGATTCCCAATCAGAGACAGCTGTCGCTCGTTGTCTCTGATTGGGGATCATGCTTAAGTAGCCTGTTTGCCTTCCTTAGTTGTGGGATCTTGTTCCGTGTTTGGCTTGTATGTGTATAGCCTGAGGACTTCACGTTACGTTGTTTCTTGTTTTGTTTATTGAGTTAAATAAACATGTATGCTTTTCACGCTGCACCTTGGTCTGACCCGTCTCTCAACGACCGTGACACATAGGCCTACTAACATTATATACAATGGATAGCAAAAACACGTGCTCCACTAAGGCAGTTATTTCTATTATAACTTGTCCTTGTGGTAAAAAAATTGTGGGCAAAACTAAGCGCGAACTAAAAGTAAGAATCTCTGCGCATCGTAGCACCATTAGGTGCAAAAACTTGACGTACCCAGTTGCGGCCCACTTTTTGGAAGCTAACCACTATTTCGTCCCTTCGCTATATCGACATTGAACACGTCACCCTCCCTAGGAGAGGGGGTGACCTTGAAAATGTATTGTTAAATGAGAGGCCGCCTGGATCTTTCATTTAAAGACCCTTGCTCCCCTTGGTCTTAATGTAAAGTTTGATATGAAGCCATTCTTGTGATTATTGTGTTTTTGATATCCATTGTACATAATTTGTAAATCGACCAATGAAATAAAGCCACAGCCGGCCATGATTACAGACACCTGTGTGTGTGTCCTTTCAAACTCTATATAAACTAGTGACCCGCAGTGTTTGTCATTATACCCTGATGAAGACAGCTTGGCTGTCGAAACGTTGTTATTAAATTATTGTATCTGAGCTCCTAGAGTTTGCGGCTCTCGTTTTATTTTTCAAGTCTTCTACTCCGCTAGCCAGCACCTCGCCTAACCAGGTGTGCGTTTTTTCCGCCTCCAGATGAATCAGTTACACCAATTTACAGTAGGTTAGCTCCCGCTATGTCTCTTGTTGCTAGCTAGTAGGTACCATAATGCTGTTCTATGGCTCCAAAAATGTTAAAATGCCTCCAGTTATTATGTGAAACTTTTTTGGGAATGTTGCTTTGGGTTCTTGGTGCCCTACCTTGAACCATACCATGGGAAACACAATCTTAAACACAGTCTTACCGCTGTCCGTCCTGCAGCGGTCGGGCTGGGCGTACTGGGAGGAGGGTCCGGCGGGCTGGGTGATCCAGTGGCCGCCATCTTGCTCTGTGGGGCTGTGAGACCCCTGGAGCGCCTGGTTGGTGAAGGGCATGATTGGAGTGCTGGCGTAGGGCGTGGTGGAGGAGTAGGGGCTGTTAAAGCTGCGTAGGTCCTCGGCGGTGGGGTCAATGGTGCTGTAGATCGGGCCTTCGGTGGAATCGCCCGTGCTGTACTTCTCTGTCTGGTTCAGGTAGATGGATATACCCGCTTCTGGTGCCGAGGGGGGTCAGAGGTGAGAGGTCAGATTCAGGTGAGAGGTCATCTTCTTTTGTCATTTGATTTATGGTTATAAGAGGATTTATAGATATTTAACTGCAGAGTTAGTGTCAAAGTTGATATGTGAGCTACAGTTACCATGACATATACAGGATGCACTATTTGGTAAAGCAAAATACAAATGTTTTAATAATAATTCAACCTGTTGTGTTTTCCAGAAGTGCTTGAATTCAGCCCCATGTCTGCCGTACAAGTTGATGTCACATGAGATGATGGAAACTATACATTCAGACTTCTTCAAAGACTGAGGGAAGATCTCAATTGCATACTCCTTGCATCCTCTCTTCTCTCTCCTTGTCTTCTTCTCAAAACCCATTGGATGAGAAAGCCAGAGGTCCCTCCCCTCTGACCTTCTCCTCCAATGGGTTTTCACAAGGAGGCAAGGAGGGAGAAGAGAGGATGCAATGAGTATGCAATTTGAAAAAATCTCCCTGAGACTACACAAAAGGCATTGTAGAGATAATCCCTGGTTGTGCACAAAACAAACTGACCGCTGTGAGCAGGATCATGCTGTGTCTCATACCATTGTAGTATCTCTCTGCAGTGTCATGTTTGGAGGTGCAGCAGTTGACGGCCTCTTTGCCACTGTGGACCAGGTCGGTGGTGGGCCAGGAGTCTGCCAGCCACGGGTAGTTGCCCATGTTGCCACCCAGCATGCCAGGCCTAAAACATAATAAAACACACACTATGATCATATCTGATGCCAATCCACAGCTTTGTTCTCATCACTTTACTAAAAGAAGACTAGTAATAAGAATGGGGAAGTCTCCTTGAAATAACAGAAACAGGGATCCTTACCTTCCATTGAGTCCAGATGCCTCTCCATGTGGAAAGCCAACTGCAGAAGAAAGGAAACGTGCATTCAGGTGTGAATGGCAAGGTAAAATACAGTAAGGCATGGGTGGTGGACATAATGTCATATGGTACAGTTGCACTCTAATATATTGTCACCCTTGTACGTTATAAAAATAATTCACTGAAATCCTGAAGTATTTTAAGTTTAAAATAGCAGCCTATTGTAAAGTGCAGTAGAATACTTGATATGGTAAGTCCCGTGTAGCTCAGTTGGTAGAGCATGGCGCTTGCAACGCCAGGGTTGTGGGTTCGATTCCCACAGGGGACCAGTATGAAAAATAAATAAATGTATGCACTCACTAACTGTAAGTCGCTCTGGATAAGAGCGTCTGCTAAATGACTAAAATGTAAAATGTAAGGTTGGTTATATTACAACATGCTTCTTTGATAAGTGGTAAAGTAACATTAAGTGTTGTATAAAGAGTGCATCAAATAAAGTGTGTAAAGTACCTGCAGGTGTGTAGTTGAACGATGCGGTATAGTGATTCAGCTCCTTCCTCTTCTTGCGGCGGCAGTAGATCCACATGCTGAAACTCATGAGGATGACCCAGCAGGCCCCGCCGATCCCAGCGATGAACGCCGGCTGCTTCACCACGTCAGTGATCTGCTCGGCCAGGCTCAGGCTGCCCTCATCACCGTCCTCGCCCTCACTGGTACTGGACACTGAAGGTGCCTCCGCTGGCAGCTCTGAGGGAGAGCGGCAAGTAAGTGAGAAGTTTGATTGATATTTTGATTTTCAGACATTTGCCCTGTAAGTACTGTATTATAACCATAATTTTCCACGTAATACTGCATGGTTTGAGTACTGTGTATGCCAAAATTGTATGTGTTATAAACCAAATGATGAATGGCAAAACATTTAATCTTCCACACCTCAGAACTGTGTGTAAAGTTAGAATCAGGCTTGTTGGCCTCATGGCAACAATACAACATTTGATTCTAAGTTGTACACAGACTCTAAGCATGCTTAACACATGAATATGATGCTACTGTAACGCTTAACAATAATTTCAGTAATTTTTGCTTCCCTCATTAGCGGTTCCACTAAATCTTATACTATCTCCTTGATATCCCGGAACTGAAATGTATAATTCTGCTAGCTTGTGGTTCTGCGGGGACTCACTAATGAGGATGGACACAGGCTGGCTGTGGGTGCCCACTCCTGCGCTGGTCACTGCTGCCACCTCCACCTGGTACAAGATACCTGGCAGCAGCCCCTTGAGCACAGTGGAGAGGAAGGTGCCATCTACGGTGGTGTTGATGTGGTAGCGGGTCTGGGTGTCGTTGCCTACACACCACACCTGTTGTTGGTTGGAGGATGGTGATTGGTGTAAGAGATAGAAGAGGTCAAATTCATGGTGTCCATATTAGGACTGCCTGTTGTGACTTTGAGGCAGTCCTAATATGGACACGATATATTTTACAGTCCTGTTTGAGCTGGTGTTTACATGGTATTTAGTTATTTAGTAAATAAATAAAAAATTGGTAACTATGGGTACGTTCTGGTACTGGCTTTGAAAAATTCAAAACAATTCATAGCTACTCCTTATTTCCAATTACTTGTTTTAATGAATCCCAAAGAAATCATTATAATGATGTAACTTTTATTATGTGCTTTTTATTTTATCATGTTATTTCTAAGTAAATACCACCCGTACGGATGGTTGTCATTGGATTGATCCAATCATGATATCGTCTTCTCTGGTTCAGTCAGCCTACCTTGTACTCCTGGATGATTCCATTCTGCATCTCGGCGGGGGGAGGCTCCCAGGAGACACTAATGCTGGAGCTGTTGCTCAGCTTCACTGTAACCACAGTGACTGCTTTGGGAGGGGCGCTCGGGACTGCAGGGAAAGAAGGAAGATCAAGTGGTGAAAAAACCCAACTCCCTGTTGACATAGAACAAAATAAATAGGGGCATTTGGTAAGATAGCAAAAATATGATTAGAGTTTGATGAAAATGGCAGACTCCATGAAATGCCATCAAATGCCATGAAGTGGTTATTGGACTAAACAGTGCACCGTCTTCATAACAGGATGTGAAGGTCACACGTGTTGGGAATTGCAATCCAGTTGAGACTGAATTGCTTTTGACTTCTCAAAGATGTGACTGACCAATCAATCGCACTTTCAAAACCTTTAAAAAAAACGTCTTACCCACTATTCCCTCCATTATGGACATAGGCTATCTTAAGTATACGCTGTCCATATTAGGACAGCTGTCACGACTTCCGCCGAAGCTGCTCCTCTCCTTGTTCGGTCAGGCGGGGAATATGCCTGGAGTCTTTGAGCGGGTCCCAGAGCATTCCAACATATTAGCCAGCTTGGGCGAAGCGATGGATCGGGTTCTCCAGGCCGTCCAGCGCCTGGAGAGGAGAGGACCCGACCCTGCGGAACCAGCTGAGTGACCAGATCCAGCCACCCACACACCAGCACCCAGAGGTATTCACATGTCTCGACCGAGGGAATACGACGGGACAGCGGCCCGCTGCCAGGGTTTCCTCCTGCAGCTGGACCTCTATTTCAACACCATCAGCCCTGCTCCATCGGATCGGGAGAAGGTGTCCGCCCTCGTCTCCTGTCTCTCGGGGAAAGCCCTGGAGTTGGCCAACTGGGAAAAGCCCTGGAGTGGGCCAACGCGGTCTGGAGTGAAAGAGGAGACGCTTTGGACAACTACGGAGAGTTTGCTCGCCTCTTCCGGGCAGTCTTCGATCATCCCCCCGAAGGAAGAGAGGCGGGCGAGCATCTGGTCCATCTGAGGCAGGGGACGAGGACCGTGCAAGACTTTGCCCTGGAGTTTAGAACTCTAGCGGCTGGGTCCGGGTGGAATGAGCGGGCCCTCATCGACCACTTCCGATGCAGCCTGCGTGAGGACGTCCGAAGGGAGCTAGCCTGCCGGGATACAACGTTGACCTTCAACCAACTGGTGGACATGGCCATCCGGTTGGACAACCTGCTGGCTTCGAGAGGACATCCTGGAAGGGGCCTGCCAGTTTCACCCCCCTTCAACCCGGATCACGTTCCGATGGAGCTGGGTGGTGCAGTGTTCTGGGAGAACGGAGGACGAGAGATCCAGTGTCACTCTTGTGGCAAGAGAGGGCATCCTACTGCACAATGCCGTACGGGTTGATGAATGCTCCATCAGTCTTCCAGTCCTTTGTGAACGAGGTGTTTCGGAACATGCTTGGTCGCGGTGTGGTAGTCTACATCGATGACATCCTGGTGTATTCCGCTACGCGCGCCGAGCATGTGTCCCTGGTTCGCAGAGTGCTTGGCCGACTGTTGGAGCATGACCTGTATGCCAAGGCTGAAAAATGTCTGTTCTTACAACAATCCGTCTCCTTCCTCGGATACCACATCACCACCTCAGGTGTGGAGATGGAGGGAGACCGCATTTCAGCCATGCGTAATTGGCCGACTGCAACCACGGTAAAGGAGGTGCAGCGCTTCATTGGCTTTTCCAATTACTATCTGAGGTTTATCTGGGGCTTTGGCAAGGTCGCATCCCCCATCACCTCTCTGTTGAAGGGTGGGCTGTCCCGGCTCCGCTGGTCTGCTGAGGCTGACAGGGCTTTCAGTAAACTGAGGGCTCTGTTCACCTCAGCCCAGGTACTGGCCCATCCCGATCCATCATTACTGTTCGTAGTGGAGGTGGACGCGTCCGAGGTAGGTGTAGGCGCTGTCCTATTCCAACGCTCGGGTACCCCACCCAAGCTCCGCTCCTGTGCCTTCTTCTATAAGAAGCTCAGCCCGGCGGAGCAGAACTATGACGTTGGTGATCGGGAGCTGTTGGCTGTTGTCAGAGTCCTGACAGCGTGGAGGCACTGGCTTGAGGGGGCGAAACACCCTTTCCTCGTCTGGACTGACCACCGTAACCTGGAGTACATCCAGGCAGCGAGGAGGCTGAGCCCTCGCCAGGCAAGGTGGGCCTTGTTCTTCCCCCGGTTTAATTTCGTGCTGTCCTATATACCAGGCACGAAGAACGTGAAAGCAGACACACTGTCACGGCTGTATGACACAGAGGAGAGGCCCATTGACAACACCACCATACTCCCGGCCTCCTGCATTGTGGCGCCGGTGTTATGGGCAGTGGACGCGGACATAGAGCGGGCGTTACGCACAGAGCCATCTCCACCTCAGTGCCCCGCTGGACTTCGGTACGTGCCGTCTGGTGTCCGTGATCATCTTATCTATTGGGCACACACGCCCCCCTCCTCTGGTCACCCAGGAATCGTCCGTACAGTGCGCTGCCGGACCGTGAAGTTCTAGTGGCCTACCTTGGCTAAGGACATGAGGGTGTATGTCTCCTTCTGCTCGGTGTGCGCCCAGAGTAAGGCACCTAGGCACCTTTAGTGGGTAAGTTACATCCCTTACCAGTTCCACAACGGCCATGGTCCCACTTATCCATTGATTTCCTAACTGATCTTCCCCTCTCTCAGGGTAACACCACCATCCTGGTCGTTGTGGACCACTTCTCTAAAGCCTACCTCCTCCTTCCTCTGCCCTGACTCCCCACGGCCCTGCAAACTGCGGAAGCCCTGTTTACTCAAGTCTTCAAGCACTACGGGGTGCCAGAGGACATAGTGTCTGACCGGGGTCCCCAGTTTATGTCCAGGGTCTGGAAGGCGTTCATGGAATGTCTAGGGGTCTCGGTCAGCCTGACCTCTGGGTTTCACCCCGAATCTAATGGGCAGGTGGAACGGGTGAATCAGGATGTGGGTAGGTTCCTGCGGTCCTACTGCCAGGACCGGCTGGGGGAGAGGTCGGTGTTCTTGCCATGGGCCGAATATGCACAGAACTCTCTCCGCACCTCCTCCACTAACCTGTCAACATTTCAATTAGTTTTAGGGTATCAGCCGGTCCTGGCACCGTGGCATCAGAGCCAGACCGAAGCTCCTGCGGTGGACGACTGGTTTTAGCGCGTGGAGGAGACATGGAACGCTGCCCACTTCCACCTCCAGCGTGCCGTGCGTCGCCATAAGGCCAACGCTGACCGCCACCGCAGTGAGGCCCTGGTCTTTGTACCGGGTGATCTGGTCTGGCTCTCGACCCGGAACCTGCCCCTCCGCCTGCCCTGCCGGAAGCTGAGCCTGTGGTTTGTGGGGCCGTTCTGAGGAGAGTAAACAAGGTTACGTATAGGTTGATACTCCCTCCTGATTACCGTATTAACCCCTCGTTTCACATGTCTCTCCTCAGGCCAATGGTGGCTGGTCCACTCAGGAGTCTGAGGTGCGGGAGGTCCCTCCGCCCCCTCCGTTCCATCCTGGATTCGAGGCGTCGGGTGGGGGTCCTTCAGGAACTCGTGTAGTGGGAGGGGTACGGTCAGGAGGAGCGGTGCTGGGTCCCGGTGAAGGATGTCCTTGATCCCTCCCTGTTGCGGGATTTCCACCGTCGCCATCCGGATCGCCCTGCTCCGCGTCCTCCTGATCATCCCTGAGGCTGGTGTCGGCGCGATGCTGGCGCTGCACGTCAAGGGGAGGGGAGGGGAGGGGGGGTACTGTCACGACTTCCGCCGAAGCTGCCTCCTTCTAGCCAATGCCGCTCCTCTTTTCATCATTCCATTTGTTTTGTCTTGTTTTCACACACACCTGCTTCATATCCCCTCATCAGTCTCTGTATACGTATTCCCTCTGCTCCCCATGTCTTTGAGTGTTATTGTTTCCATGTGGAGGTGTCGATAGCTCAGTGGAGCATATTGTACTTTATCGCCGGGATATTCACCCGTGTGTTTTGTTTTTCCCAGTGCACCGTTAAGTCACCCGCTACAACAGCCTCTGTCTCATCAAGGCTTGTGTCAGTCTCATCAGAAGTGGTCAGTGTCAGTAGCTTCTAGCCAGTCTTACCTTCCTCTGGTGTTCTGACCAGCAGCAGCCGACTGTCCATGCCCTGGAACTCGTCGAAATAGGGCCGGATCTTGATCTCGTACTCAGTGCCTTTGAGCAGGTCAGCGACCACGGCCAGGCGCTCCGACGGGGCCTTGACATCCTGCAGCTGCCAGGTGCCACCGCTGGGCCGGTAGAGAATCCGGTAGCCCTGGATGTACTGGGACTGACGGTCCACCTGGGGAGGGGAGGAAAAACGGGAGAACATGGAGAAATAGAGAGAAAGAATGAGGGAAAATTACAGAAAAGGGAGCAATAAAAAGAGAAAGAGATACAGTTCTACTACCCTTGAATATGGGTATACAGTAAAAAATCTAATTTAAAAAAAACATTTATAGAGTGTGTCCAACCGATAGCATTTCTCCTGTGAAAGATGATGCAAACTCAGGTCAGGGTACTCACTGTCCATGATACTTGAACACTGGAGGCAGTGAGCGTGACAGGCTCCTGAAGTTGAACGGCCACCTCTCCCAGCTCTTTCTGGACCTGCCTGTGGTCCACTCCCTGACCGGTAGGACTCACATCTGCAAACACAACATGAACAAACATCAAGACACAAAATACTCAGTAAAATGATAGTGGATTCTTAACTCACATTCACACTTGATTGAAATACCCTAAATTGTTTTATATAAAGCATAAAGCCTTCAGACATTTATGCTTTCATGATGCAAGGTCTCAAAATGAGTGAAAAATTACGTTTTGACTTCCCACACTTGTTTTACACTAACTACCACTCTGTATTTTAATTTTTTTGTCTCTCGTAGTAAATGTTTAGTAAAAATGTTGTATCCCCTCCTAGGTACTGACCTTGTGTGCGGACGGGCTCAGAGATGGGGCTGGGGTCACTCAGGCCATAAGCGTTGACCGCTCGGACGATGAACAGATAGATGGTGTTGGGGAAGAGACCGCTGACTGTGTGTTTCTCCAACTTGACCAGGTCAGCCACCGTTTGCCACGTACTGCCCGCTGATTGGCTAGAGTAAGAGACCACAGACAATGATGTCATGTTATTTGTCATTTCCAATTACGTTAGTAAAGTTACTGTGCAAGGCTATTGTTTAATGTTATACTTTACAGAGTAGCCTATATTGACAGCTGTTCCTATATTACTCAATAGTGACCACAAACTATGCTTCACTATTATTTCACAGAGAATCAAACTCGGTGGCAGGTAGCTTAGCGGTTAAGAGCGTTGGGCCAGTAACCGAAAGGTTGCTGGTTGGTATCTCTGAGTCTGCAAGGTAGCGAATTCTGCTGTTCTGCCCTTGAGCAAGGCAGTTAACCCCCAACAACTGCTCCCTGGGTGCCGGTGATGTAGATGTCGATTGAAAGCCAATTTATGCTTGATCCGAAAATGTGGTCGGAGGCTTCGTATGGAGGGTGTGAAACAATTGCGGAGGCATGCAGATGCATTGACATGATTAGCTGACAATAGGTGGGGGCGGTACGTCCTGTATAAACACAAACTTGACAATTTCCTTCACAATAGCTCTGCTCTGCTCCGCTAAGCACAAGAAATATGAAAGCCCTGATGTCTAATGCTGTACGCCACTTCAGACACAGATTGACCATGCAGAGCCTTTTAGGCAGCCTTGAATGCATTCAGTTGTGCAACTGACTAGGTATACCCCTTTGTCAGGTTATTGACAAAGCCTTCCACTAAACATTGACTCAATAGTAACTACAAACTGTTCCTCAGTCTTTTATAGAGAATCAGATAGGAGCCACTAGAATAGCAGAGCCCAGGCTGAAGCTGTTTGTTTAGTCATTAAGTGCTGTGTGCTGTGTTCAGCGATGCTTCGCTATCCCCCATGCTCATTTGACGCACTGCGTTCCCGAGCCCAGTGTCATATCCAGGCAATGATGACGGAGCTATTTTTAGCCCGCTCAGGTTTTTAGCCACGATGCATCATCAGACCATGCCAGAGCATCTGGTAAATAACAATAACGCCAGCTGTGTGTTTATGACAAGTTTTGTTGTTTGTTTTTTGTTGTTTGTCATCTTAAATATTTTTGTTTTGCTCTCTAATAAATAATGTGATAAATCTAGTGAACAATGCATCTGATAAAGTTAGAAGGAAAAAATGGGAGTTTCTTTGGCCTTTGGCAGTTCCATTTGCATTTACCTCTCCTGCCTGGTCTTCTTTAGATTTGCTGTCACACCTTGTTTACTGGCATAGTTACATGACACCCTTCCTTTTTATTTTCCCCTCGGGACCAGCAACTGCCGTAGCAGACGAGTGACTTTATAGCCGACCTGTGCAATTAGGTGACAGCGATAAAAGCTGCGTGAGCCATAAATATTCCTCCAGCGGACCGGCCAATAGTGATAAATCCAAGGTCACTTTGTCAGAGGCGAGGCTGAAGCTTGGGACACACACAGGAAAACACACAATGCACATGTAAACATACACTCTCGCCCCACAAACATGCCAATGGGGGAAAAAACTAGAGTGTTCCTCACCTCCGTCTCCTAGAGAATGGAGAGAGGACAATGGTAAATCTATCCATCTTCATACAGTAACAACGTGTCAGGATTCTATCTCCCTCTTGTCCCACACGCATGCACACACACATACACACGCTCATCCCCTCTCCTCTCCCCCTGGCCACACCTACCCTCCAACCCCCAAATAACCCCCAGCACCTCAGGCAAGGAAATGTTATTGTAAACTAACCTATTCAGCCCCCACAGCAACTCTATAAAGAATCAATTTGGGCCACTCGGCACGGTGCTAACTACTGCCCTGGGGGCAAGGTGAGAGAAGAGGGATGAGGGGGCTAGTGAGTCAGGATGGGATAGTCCCCATCTAAATGAACAGGGAAGGGGAGGGGGGGCATTTCCTTGTAACACAGTCTGTCCACATCTGGACCTGGTTTCTCATCCCTTCATTCCTCCATCCATTCTTCTGCGTCCGATCAGCCCACTGTTAGACCCAAAGGAGACTTTGTTGTTTACTCGTCACACCGCCCATCTGTGTCTGGACCTGCTTCCTCATCACTATATTCGTCTCTCCATCCCTCCATCCCTCTGCGTCCTACTGTGAGGCCCATAGGAACCTCTCTCTCAGTAAATAGAGCTAGCCCGGCTCTGCTCAACGTACAACAGCCCAAGGACTCTGTCTATCTGTCTGTGCTGGCCACATTTGATAACATTACCATTTTAGCTCCACAGAGGTGCACCAAGCTGTATGTGTGTGTTTGTGTGACATTTGATGGGGGTTCAAGTCAAAGTGGGGGGCAGCTGGGAGATTTGGGGAGTGGGTTAGCGTGGGCCAGCCTCCAAACTAGCTGGGGTTGATTACAATGTCAAAGGTGTCAGGGTCAGGGTGTCCGCAGGGGTGTGAGTAAGTGTGTGTACAGTTGAAGTCGGAAGTTTACATACACCTTAACCAAATACATTTAAACTCCGTTTTCACAATTCCTGACATTTAATCCTAGTAAAAATTCCCTGTCTTAGGTCAGTTAGGACCACCACTTTATTTTAAGACTGTGAAATGTCAGAATAATAGTAGAGAGAATGATTTATTTCAGCTTTTATTTCTTTCATCACATTCCCAGTGGATCAGAAGATTACATAAACTCAATTAGTATTTGGTAGCATTGCCTTTAAATTGTTTAACTTGGGTCAAACATTTTGGGTAGCCTTCCACAACCTTCCCACAATAAGTTGGGTGAATTTTGGCCCATTCCTCCTGACAGAGCTTGTTTAACTGAGTCAGGTTTGTAGGCCTCCTTGTTGCACACACTTTTTTCAGTTCTGCCCACAAATGTTCTATAGGATTGAGGTCAGGGCTTTGTGATGGCCACTCCAATACCTTGACTTTGTTGTCCTTAAGCCATTTTGCCACAACTTTGGAAGTATGCTTGGGGTCGTTGTCCATTTGGAAGACCCATTTGCGACCAAGCTTTAACTTCCTGACTGATGTCTTGAGATGTTGCTTCAATATAGCCACATAATTTTCCTTCCTCATGATGCCATCTATTTTGTGAAGTGTACCAGTCCCTCCTGCAGCAAAGCACCCCCACAGCATGATGCTGCCACCCCTGTGCTTCACGGTTGGGATGGTGTTCTTCGAATTGCAAGCGTCCCCCCTTTTTCCTCCAAACATAACGATGGTCATTATGGCCAAACAGTTCTATTTTTGTTTCATCAGACCAGAGGACATTTCTCCAAAAAGTACGATTTTTGTCCCCATGTGCAGTTGCAAACCATAGTCTGGCTTTTTTATGGCGGTTTTGGAGCAGTGGCTTCTTCCTTGCTGAGCGGCCTTTCAGGTTATGTCGATATAGGACTCGTCTTACTGTGGATATAGATACTTTTTTACCTGTTTCCTCCTGAATCTTCACAAGGTCCTTTGCTGTTGTTCTGGGATTGATTTGCACTTTTCACATCAAAGTACGTTCATATCTAGGAGACAGAACGCGACTCCATCCTGAGCGGTATTACGGCTGCGTGGTCCCATGGTGTTTATACTTATAATAATAATATAATATGCCATTTAGCAGACGCTTTTATCCAAAGCGACTTACAGTCATGTGTGCATACATTTTTACGTGTGGGTGGTCCCGGGGATCGAACCCACTACCCTGGCGTTACAAGCGCCATGCTCTACCAATTGAGCTACAGAGGACCACACTTGCACATACTTGCGTACTATTGTTTGTACAGATGAACGTGGTACCTTCAGGCGTTTGGAAATTGCTCCCAAGGATGAACCAGACTTGTGGAGGTCTAAAATATTTTTTTTCCGAGGCCTTTGCTGATTTCTTTTGATTTTCCCATGATGTCAAGCAAAGAGGTACTGACTTTGAAGGTAGGCCTTGAAATACATCCACAGGTACACCTCCAATTGACTCAAACGATGTCAATTAGCCTATCAGAAGCTTCTAAAGCCATGACATCATTTTCTGGAATTTTCAAAGCTGTTTAAAGGCACAGTCAACTTAGTGTATGTAAACTTCTGACCCACTGGAATTGTGATACAGTGAATTATAAGTAAAATAATCTGTCTGCAAACGATTGTTGGAAAAAATCTTGTGTCATGCACAAAGTAGATTTCCTAACCGACTTGCCAAAACTATAGTTTGTTAACAAGACATTTGTGGAGTGGTTGAAAAATGAGTTTTAATGACTCCAACCTAAGTGTATGTAAACTTCCGACTTCAACTGTATGTGTGTGTGTACTGACACTAATAAAGGGTGAGAGATGGCTGCCCACAGCAACCTCTGACTAGAAATGGTCCACCCACACAGACAGTGTGGTGAAGAAGGCGCAATAGCGCCTCTTCAACCTCAGGAGGCTGAAGAAATTCAGCTTCGCCCCTAAGACCCTCACAAACTTTTACAGATGCACAATTGAGAGCAGTATCATCGCCTGGTACGGCAACTGCACCACCCGCAACCGCAGGGCTCTCCAAAGGCTGCCCAACGCATCACCGGTGGCACACTGCCTGCCCTCCAGGACACCTACAGCACTCGATGTCACAGGAAGGCCAAAAAGATTATCAAGGACATCAACCGTTCACCCCGCTTTCATCGAGAAGGCGAGGTCAGTACAGGTACATCAAAGCGGGGACAGAGAGACTGAAAAACAGCTTCTAACTCAAGGCCATCAAACTGTTAAATAGCCTTCACTAGCCGGCTACCACCCAGTTACTCAACCCTGCACCTTAGAGGCTGCTGCCCTATGTACATAGACATGGAATCAAGGGTCACTTTAATAATGAAACACTAGTCACTTGAATAATGTTTACATACTGTTTTACTAATTTCATATGTATATACTGTATTCTACTGTATTTTAGTCAATGCCACTCCGACATTGCTCGTCCTAATATGTATATATTTATTTTACTTTTAGATTTGTTTGTATTGTTGTGAATTGTTAGATACTACTGCACTGTTGGAGCTAGGAACACAAGCATTTCGCTACACCCGCAATAACATCTGCTAAATTTGTGTATGTAACCAATACAATTTGCTTTGATTTGATTTGATTTGAGAGATAGGGCAGGGGGCTGGAGGGTAGAAAACGGTGTGCCAGTGGAGGCTCCTCAGAGGAGGAAGGGGAGGACCATCCTACTCAGTGAATTTCAGAAAAATTAAAATGTTTTAAATGTTTCATAATTTAAGATAAAACTATACTAAATATATTCACGTCACCAAATACCTGATTAAAACACACTGTTTTGCAATGAAGGTCTACAGTAGTCTCAACAGCACCCTCTAGGGTAGCACCATTGTGTTGCTGGAGGACAGCCATTTTCCGTCCTTTTCTGGCTATGTTGACTTCAATACAAAACCTAGGAGGACCTACATGGTAATTATGACAACTTCCGGAAGACGTACTTCAACCAATCAAAGCTTTTGCAGTATGAACATGTTCAGAGAATGAACCTAGTACTACGCATGTGTGATTTTGAAGCTTGGTGAGTTGGTGACATTGTTGGATAGATTGAGATTGAGATAGTGAATAGTTGAGCATTTTTAGGATATTATTCCATTCAAAGTTCCAATAACAAGGGCAAATACAACGAGCTTGCAGAGGTAATTTGCTTTACTTGCTGAGCTTATGGAAGTTTCTACTGCCTTCTCTGGGATGTCAAAATCAATTCAGAATGATTTGATAGCTTCCATCGCATCATCCATTAAAAATTAGATTAAAAGAGAGGTTGACACAGCGCATTTCTTCGCATGGCAAATGGATGAAACATTTACATTTTACATTTTAGTCATTTAGCAGACATTCTTATCCAGAGCGAGTGCATACATTTATTTGTATTTAAACACAGACAGTTAGGTATGTGTATGATCAGGGCTTTATTCAGAGCTACTTGTATGTGTCAAGTGGGCGAGATGCGCATTCTGTGTTTGACTTTGTGAATTCTGAGATGTCTGAGTTTAACTTCATGGAGAAACTTGTTGCTCAAACCTATGATGGTGCTGCTGTAATGGAATGTATCTGCTATTTGTATAAGTCCTCTCCTGCTCCCTGATTAAGAGGGGATGATCACTCCACTCCACTCCACTACCAGTGTCAACTCTCTCCTGATATGAACTGAAGCCATGTCTCATGTGCCCTCTCATCCACTGGTGCATTGAATGTTTCCTCTCCAAGCACTGTGAGTAGCCCTGTCAATTTTCTCTCATTACTGTATGTAGAGTCAATCACACACACAAACACAATCACATTACTACACATCAATATGATTTTACTCCTTGCTTGGACTAACTCATTCTTAGCTCTTTTATCTAACTGTTTTGTGTTATTGTTTTTTGTCTTCCCAGTCAAATCCTGTCCTGCCCTCAGTGGAAGAGTTGAGCTTTTCTCCAACACCATCCATCCATGATGAGCCTGTCCTGCACTGAAGCCTATGAACACCTCAACTCATGCCTCATACCCTCATTCAATCTCTGCTGTGATCCCTTCCCAACTCTAGACCTCTCATTCCCATTCCCCATAATATTTTTAGGTTAAAATAATGTCTTTGATGACTTTTGAAACACGCTTTGTCTTCTCTGTGTGGTCCGCGCCTATATCGTGGGTCTCCCATTCTTCTCAATTGTTCAAGTCACCAGCATCCACTTGTGTGAGCATGTGTGTGTGAGTTCAAGTGTGTGTATGTGCAAGTGTATCTTCAGATGTTACGTGTTAACTTCAACCCCCCAAAAATATAGCATGAATAGAGCTGACATTTCTGTCTTTCTGTCTGTTCTACCGAATGCACCACAAGGTTGAGCCCCACTGAACGTGGCCTAGGTCTAACTCCTACTGTCGACTCCACTCACCTGAAGGCCTCAATGATGTAGGAGGTGACGGCAGCGCCTCCCTCATGGGCGTTGGGCTGCCAGGTGAGGGTGACACTGTTGCGGGTCACGTCGGTAACCACAGGCTTCTGGGGCGGTCCTGGCAGCTGGAAAGGTTCTGATGCCTGGGGGACAGATGAACCTCCACTCTCTGAAAATCACAATCAAATCAAACTTTATATAAAGTGCATTTAAAAAGAGACATAGACAGAGGATGAAAGGGTAGCTGGATGGTAGTGGATCTCCTATGTATAGGAGAAGACTAGCACTAGTCCTTTTGTGAGTTACCAATAAACAATAAATAATTAATGTAATACGATCAATTCAATTTCAATTCGGTCAATCACGAATTGAAAAGCGACATTTGTCTTCAATAAGGAATTAAATGGAACCGATCCCAGCACTGATCACAGTAATTGACTAAAAATAAGAGTTTAGTTGTGAATTATCAGAGCTTCTGCTTGGTTGGTTTTAAGATGCATTTGTAGGCACTAAATACCATCGTACCAAGCTTCATCAAACAGTAGCATTTCATAACAGCAATAAGGCATTACTTCTTCCAACTCATCATCCCTCTGCTTCGCCTTGGGCCAAACAATGCCCCTAGGTGCGATTACATCCACAATTTCACAAGACCTCTGCCTTATTTCTTGATTCACTGCCATTCCTACGGCTGATAATGATCTTATATGGGCATGTAATGTCAGAGAGGCAATCTAATAGTCTGTAGGGAGGTTTTTACTACAGTACATTTACCTTTCAACATGTGCGTGCGTGCGTGTGTGTACGCGTGTGTGCATGCATGTACATTTACCTTTCACTGTGAGTACTCCGCTCCACGTCGTCTCTCCGCTCGAGCTGGAAGCCACGCAGGTGTAGGCCCCTGAGTCGGTTTCCTGGCAACAAGAGAGAGGGCATAGTTAACATCGTGTACATGCACCAAAGCACAATGCCTTTGCCTCTTCACATTCGGTGTCCCAAAGCAAATCTTTCCAGTTAAGTCAACATGAACATCTGCCTAGAACATCTGCCATGTTGGCTCCAATGCTTCCCACAGTTCTGTCAAGTTGGCTGGATGTCCTTTGGTTGTTGGACCATTCTTGTTACACACAGAAACTGTTGAGTGTGAAAAACCCAGCAGCGTTGCCGTTCTTGACACAAACCGGTGCGCCTGGCACCAAATACCATACTGATTGAAGTGGATTTAGCAAGTGATATCAATAAGGGATCATAGCGTTCACCTAGATTCACCTTGTCAGTCTATGTCATGGAAAGAGCAGATGTTCTTAATGTTTTGTATACTCAGTGTATATATGGCTTTAGAGTATATGTTCTCAGAGCATGCACAGAACAGCTGGCAGGCATGTTCACAGTAATTTTTAACCTCTCCTTGTCCCGGTCTGTAATCCCAAATGTTTTAAGATGACCACATCATTCCTGTTCCTAAGAACTCTAAGGCTTCATGCCACAATGACTACCGCCCTGTAGCACTCACTTCTGTAATCATGAAGTGCTTTGAGAGGCTGGTTATGCCACACATTAACTCCTCCATCCCAGCCATCCTAGACCCACTTCAATTTGCATACCCTAACAGATCCATAGATGACACAATCGCAATTGCTCTCCACACTGCCCTCACCCACCTAGATAAGAGGAATACCTATGTGAGAATGCTGTTCATTGACTACAGCTTACACCATTGTCCTCTCCAAGCTCCTCACCAAGCTTAGGACTCTGGGTCTGAACACCACTCTCTGCAACTGGATCCTTGACTTCCTGACGGGCCGACCCCAGGTGGTGAGGGTAGGCAACATCCTCTCCGCCACGCTGACCCTTAACACAGGGGCCCCACAACGGTGTGTGCTTAGTCCCCTCGTGTACTCCTTGTTCACCCGCGACTGTGGGGCCACGGACGACTCCAACACCATTATCAAGTTCGTTGACGACACGACGGTGGTAGGCCTGAACACTGGAAACGATGAGTCAGCCTACAGGGAGGAGGTCAGTGACCTGGCAGTGTGGTGCCGGAGCAACAACCTCTCCTTCAACGTCTACAGCTGTACCATTGAGAGCATATTGACTCGCTGTATCACTGCTTGGTATGGCAGTAGCACCGCCATCGATCGCATTGGCCCTGCAGAGGATTGTGCGGACAGCCCAGTACATCACTAGGACCAAGCTCCCTGCCATCCAGGACCTCTATATCAGGCGGTGTGAAAACAAGGTGCCAAAAAATCGTCAAAGACTCCAACCACTACTCTGTTTATCATATATCCTGTTGCCTAGTCCTCTTACCCCTATACATATCTACCTTCATCACTCCAATGTCCATGCACATGTAAATATGGTATTGGATCTGACTTTTTAAATATTTCCTGTATATAGTATGCTTACTTACTTACTTTATTGTGTATTTCATATTTCTTATTATTATTTGTTGTGTGTTTTTTTCTAGTAATACATTGTTATTGATTATTGCATTGTTGGGTTTTGAGTTTGCAAGCAAGGCATTTCACTGTACTTGTGCATGGGGGGGTTACGATAGTACTTCTGGGCCAGTGTCTCAGGCTAGTAGTGCTCAGGGTAGGAGTCCCCACTGTCCATGTAATCGTAGTCATGATCTAAAAGGTCAAACTGATCATAGATCAGCACTCCTATCTGAAACACTTGATATGGGCCCTGATCCTTTTGTACCAGTGTGGGAGTTTAAAGGAGGATAAAGGAGAGACCTTTAGTAACCAGAGCGGGTCTGCAAATTTCTGTGGCTCTAACTTTGCTTTATACTGAGCACTCAACAGTAACTTGTAATTGTGTGTGACTGTGTAGGTAGTGCACGTGTGTGTGTGTGTGTGTGTGTGTGTGTTTAAGACGATAAGTGTGGGTCAGGGAGAACATTGACTATTAAACTTTCATTGGGAGGCTGAGAGCGAGACAAGGGCTAGAAATTGCTTACAACAGTGGAAGATGTACAAATGTAGGATCTTAATTTGATCACCCTGTTGTTGCAGGAAATACACTTGTAATGTATTCAAGGTTTAAAATGCTTCTAAATTCAGACTTGATTTGCCCGTAAAAAATTTTCTATCAATAATTCACATTTCCTGTTGCTGCAGGATTATCTTCCTGCTGTGAGAAACTGGTCAAATTAAGATCCTACACCTGTAGGGACTTTAACTCGCAGACAATGATCTAATGGTGTTGACAGCTCACGCCCAACCGCCTGCAGGTTAGTGGGCCACACACACACACACACACACACAGATTTCAAACTAACGACTAGGCATTCAGCCCTCATGGTTAATGTAATACCAATCTTATTCAAAACCAAATCTAATGAATTATACAAAGCACACTACAAAAACACACAGAGAGCCAACACAATACAATCAAGATAATAGCACTGTTGTTTGTGCTTGGTTGCCATCCACTTCTTCTCTCTACCCCTGTGTGTGTGTATGTGCGTACGTACGTACGTGCACACGTGTATGTGTGTGTGTGTGGTGGCCAGTTGCAGTGGCATTGGTATACCTCAAGTCTAAGTTCCCTGTCTAAAAGCCCCAAGACGGACAGGAGAGGTGACTCCAAGACCAATAGTACATCACTCTTCCTTCTCTCTTCCTATAGGCCAGCTGACCTTGAAAGGACCTGTATGGCAGCCAAGGCAGCCAATGACGTGGATGTCTGGGGCAGCAATTCCCGGGTGGTGACTGGTGATTGGAGGAGAGGAGTGGGAAGGGGTAAACGGATGGGCACCTGACTGTGAATCATGGTTGGCAGCTTTAGGCGCTGCGCTAAACAGATAGTTAAAAATGGTTGAAGGATTAAGGTGGGGAGAGTCAACCGTGTGCCAAATGTTTGAGCTCGTTCCTGGTTGTGGAATGAGTTCCTTATTTTCTCCCCTTCCTCGCTGTACTGATATAATCTCAAGTGCACTATCTCTGTGTTGTAGCATCTTCCTTGACTTGTTTTATTTCTCTTCATCTCAATATTCTCTCTCTCTCTCTCTCTCTCTCTCTCTCTTTCTAACCCCCCCCCCCCCCCCCCCTTCTCCCTGCCTCCCTCCCTCCGTCTCCCTTCTCTCTCTGTCCTGTTAGAGGGAGGCTTGGCACAGTGCTGTAGTTGTAGTGTGTTTCTGGCTCTGGTCCCGGTGTAATGGGCATTGCTTCAGTCCCAGAGAGGAACAAACGGACCATCTGCCGGGTGCCCGGCCCTCTCGCCCCCACCCCACCCTCCCCTCTTTCTGTGCCCCTCTCTGCCTAAATTAAAAGAGGAGCAACCTGATAAAAGTGGGAGAGAGCGATAAAAACAAGGATGAAGAGTGTCCAAGATTCAAAATACAGTCCAGTCCATCTAGTCGAGATATGAGAAATTCACAAATACAGTGGGCAGAGGAAGTACTAAAGAGTGTTTGCTATATTTTGAGTGCATGTGGTTGAAGTTTTAGCTGAAAATTGTTTATGTTGGTTCATTGAGATTCTTAACTTAATCTCTCTCCCTCCCTCTCTCTCTCCTTACCATCAATCCCCCCCCCAATACCCCAACAATGATTTAATTAAAGTCACAGCAATCGTTAATCACTGTGGGCTCGACAATCTATTAATTAACACGTCAGCCGGCCCGAAGCTCGCCACACACTACGGTGACCCGCAGGTGCAGCCCGCAACCCCAGAGGACTCTGGGTAGAATGGATTTCATTAGCCGTGCGTACGCCACCACTAACTACTGCTAATGATGGCACCCGCTCATTACCTTGCCGATTATGCATCACCGCTGAGATTTTTGGCGCCACAGAAACTCGACAGCCAATTATTAAATCACTGTGTCACCCATAAACCATAAAAAAGCCACTCCTGCGGTCAAATATTCCAATATTAATATCTTGCTCTCAATTCAATTGAATTACATTGCCGAGATGTGTGTCAGAGTGGACAGCTTGTATGACCTGTATGCCGCTCACTTAGTAAATATCAATATAACAAGAGGACAGGTTACTTTGCCGTGGCATCTGAAAACGGCTATGCCTTTCTATTGATCTAAATGGCAGTGAGTCATAATAATACAGTGAATTAAACTAAGCTAAATCCCATTAAGGATGAGTAGTTACTCCTTGTGTATTTATTCCTTGTGTTATTATTTTTCTATTATTTATATTTTTGTCTCTCTGCATTGTTGGGAAGGGCCCATAAGTAAACATTTCACTGTTAGTCTACACTTGTTTACGAAGCATGTGACAAGTAAAATTGTATTTGATTTAGTTGATTGCATTGCTTTGGAAATAACACTCCGGTGTTATTGCATGTGGTTGCTTAGTGTCACTTAGGAGAGTTACCTCAGACGATTGATATGATGAGACTTGAAGTGCGTTGAGATGCAATGTGAAGTGTTTAATTTCATATGCTATTATGAAGGGGGTGAAGGCATTTACAGAGGAGGGAAAGATACTTTTTTGGAGCGTTCTTTCTACATTTATGAGAATCATTGAGAACATTATTTTTACGTTCTTAAGAATCATTGGAAACGTTCTTTGTACGTTCTTTTCAGGTACCTGCAGGTTTGTGATCTGGAACGTTCCCTTCTCCATCAGGCTGACACGCTCGTCGCCCAGTATTCTTTGGCCGTCCTTCTCCCATTGGATGCTGGGCAGAGGGTTGCCCATCACTTGGCACTGAAATTGGGTGGTGGAGCCTGGCGCCAGCGTTTGATTGGCCGGCCCTTGGCGGATGATAGGCGGGATTCGGTCGGAGGGTGCTGTGTGGGGGAGGGAAGGAGGGAGAGACAGAGGGAAAGAGAGTGTGCATTAAGAGAGTGTGTACCACTGGGCACACACTGGTTGAATCAACATTGTTTCCACATCATTTCGTTGAAATGATGTTGAACCAACGTGGAATAGAAGTTGAATTGACATCTGTGCCCAGTGGGTAGTTGAGTGTATTCCATAAAAATACCATCCTAACCATTTGCAGCATGGAGTCCACCTCTAATTCTGTTGGGCCATAAGTCTTCATATTAACCAGTGTAAATCACTAAGGGCAGGCATGGCGGTGTAAAAACATGCAGTCGTAAAATAACGCAACTCTCAGCAAGTCCACAAATCCCCTGCTCCTGCCTCATTTCACATCCAATCAATGACATAGATCTCTTTTGCTCAAGCGTGTAGCAATCTAGTTTTTCTTCTTCGCTCTAGAGACGATTTATATGCGAAATAAAACAGTGGTTCAATGAAGTTGCCATTTATTGGTTAAACGTTAAAGGGATAGTTCAATGAAAATAATAGCATTTCAGTGTCTAGTTTAACAAAACGGTGTGGATTGCAGTCACTCCTTGTCCATAGACTGCTTTCAAGGTAAGGAAAGAAATCTCTAAATATTTAATTTTGCAGAACTGTCCCTGTAAAGTCAACTTTCAGTCAAAAAAGGTATATCTATGGCAGTGTCTCTATTGGACTGTAGTGGTTTGCCAGTGCAGGCCTTTATTTACCATAACATCTTCACTAATATTGCTTTCTCCCACTATTCAGCAATGTTATGGCTTAACACGCCAAAGCAGCGCTGAATAATTTAATATTTGTTTGACTAAACCTGGAAAACTCTTCTTGAATCGCGGAGGCGGAGGACCATGAATAAGTCTTAGACGAGTCAATGACTTTGGCATTTACCATTCCCAATATAGAATGTACAGATGTAGGATCTTCATTTTATCACCCTGTCGTTGCAGGAAATGTCCTGCACGGCAGGAAATGCAAAATTGTATTGTATTCAAATATTTAAAAGGCTTCTAAAGTTTGTAATTTCCACTTAAACATGGCAGACTTGATTTGTCCAAACAAAAAATGGATCAACCCCTACAAATATTTCAATGAATTATAATCAACACAAAAATGCACATTTCCTGTTTAAGATCCTACATATGTAAGTAGTACACAGTACATCAGTAGTGTACTCCTTGCTTAACCCCATGCCACTAAATCCCATCCCTCCATAGACTGTTTACCCTGTAGTGAAACACAGGCCCTGGCTATTTACTCATTAGACCACCATGCCCTGCAAACAGAGGCCAGCCAATGGACATATATGGATCTGTCTATGCCACCTCTGTACGTCTGTGTGCACACCATCATGTAAACACCACTGTGTGTGTGCTGACATCTTACAGAGTAACATTCCGTTTCAACTTTACTGGTCACTTAAGTATCAGTGTACATTACTTTCAGTGTGTCTAGTGTATTGACATGAACTCTGCTCAATTAAATTAAATGTAGTCTTATAAAATTTATTTAATTAGCCAATGTTGCCAAAGCAAATCATTAACACATAATTGACCTCAACATTTACATAAAAACATGTCATAGGCAACAATCAGTTACAGTGTTACTAATTTATATAATCAATAGACAATATCCTAGGGGACCCAGAAATGTATTTTTTCTGAAACGCCATAGTTAGTGATATTGTTGGTTTATGAACTCAAACACCATGCTTGAACTATGACTATGACAAAGGGAAAATTAAAAACTAGTATTTACCTGTTATCTGTTAGCATAAAGTACATTGTTGTCTGTATGCTAGGCAGGGAAAGGCTAGCTAAGCTACAGTGCTATGAGGCAGACGCGGAGCACAGATGCATCTAAACAACAGTTTATCCCCTTCCTTACTGGTCGCAGCGTGATGAGGGGAGCATATGTTCCCGGCGTGGTTAATTTGCATAGCGCCATTGCGACGTGTCCTGTTTGATTACGTCTCGCTTTACCTCCTGCTGTTCACTCATTTGGGGGACTGGAGGGGGGGGGGCGCCGATTTTTAATTTGGGGTGGCTTTGAAGAGTTTTTAATTTATTTGGGTTTAAGCAGTTGTGAAGGGAGTGATGGAGGGTGGAGGGACTGGCAGGGAGGCATTTGGGACACACTCAAAGTGTTAGAAAGTAATGGGATATGAATGTGGGGTTTGTATGAGGAAGATGCTGGGTTGGGTTTGGGAGGTAGGTTAATTGAAGCCAGCTGTGTGTGATAGTGAGCCCTAGGGGGTAATCAACTTACTCTAGGGAAACTCATGCTAGGTTTTTGTCCTTAAAGGTTAGTGTGCGCTCACATGCACCCACATTCACACACACAGGCACACAAAATGAAACTCACACACTGAGACTGTGGCGGTGCAAACAACTATTTTGGATGCTTAGGCATGACTAGTGTTTATGGCACTGTGGGAATCCAATCTTTAATGGACTAGCTGGCTTCAATTATAGCCTCACTGTATAGCCTCACATGCATCGAAGCACAATGCCTTTGCTTCTTCACATTCTGTGTTCCAAAGCAAATCTTTCCAGGTATGTCAACAAACATTTGCCTAGAATCTATGGGCTATCTGTAGATACACTGACTATACCAAACATTAGGAACACCCTTTGCGCTCCTTTTGCCCTCAGAACAGCCTCAATTCGTTGGGGCATGGACTACAAACTTTCCACGGGGATGCTGGCCCATGTTGACTCCAATGCTTCCCACGGTTGTGTCAAGTTGGCTGGATGTCCTTTGGGTGGTGGACCATTCTTGTAACACACGGGGAACTGTTGAGCGTGAAAAACCCAGCAGCGTTGCAGTTCTTGACACACTCAAACAGGTTGCGCCTGGCACCTACTACCATACCCCATTCAAAGGCACTTAAATCTTTGTCTTGCCCATTCACCCTCTGAATGGCACACAAACACAATCCATGTCTCAAGGCTTAAATAATCCTTCTTTAACCTGTCTCCTCCCCTTCATCTACACTGATTTAAGTGAATATCACAGGTGACATCAATAAGGGATCATAGCTTTCACCTGGATTTACCTGGTAAGTCTGTCATGGAAAGAGCAGGTGTTCTTAATGCTTTGTACGCTCAGTGTATGTGACTGTGTGTGTGTGTCTGTCCTTTACTTGTGTGTATGAGCACCTTGATATACAACATGCATGTTTATGTGCTATCATTCTTGTGTACATTCATCTGTCCCTGAACACTTTTTCAATATATTTACGACAGATCTGCGAGTGTGTGTGTTACTGTGTGTGTTACTGTGTGTGTGTGTGTGTGTGTGTGTGTTACTGTGTGTGTGTTACTGTGTGTGTTACTGTGTGTGTGTGTGTGTTACTGTGTGTGTGTGTGTGTGTGTGTGTGTGTGTTACTGTGTGTGTGTGTGTTACTGTGTGTGTGTGTGTTACTGTGTGTGTGTGTTACTGTGTGTGTGTGTGTGTTACTGTGTGTGTGTGTTACTGTGTGTGGTGTGTGTGTGTTACTGTGTGTGTGTGTTACTGGTGTGTGTGTTACTGTGTGTGTGTTTGTGTTCCTCCCACAGACACTCACCACTCTCGACCTCCAGCAGGGCCTTGGTGAGGATACTCCCAGCCACAGAGATGGCCTGACAGATGTAGTATCCCGAGTCCTCACTGTGGACGTCTGTGATGGTCAGCTCCCCGCTCAGAGACACAGAGAACCGGCCGGACTGGGCAGCTTCCTGGATTGGGAACAGCAGGATCTGGAGAGGCAGGAAATGACACAACACCACATAACAGGTAGGCTGAAACCAGTCAGCACAGGGATAAAACATCACAACACCATGTCACACAACTGGTAGGCTGAAACTGGTCAGCACAGGTAAAGCATATTATCATTTTTTACCGTAATTTGCTCAGGTCATTGTAAGAATTAGATATTTTTATTATGTACAGGCTTCCTTCTTTTCACTCTGTCATTTAGGTTAGTATTGTGGAGTAACTTCAATGTTGTTGATCCATCCTCAGTTTTCTCCTATCAGCCATTAAACTCTGTAACTGTTTTAAAGTCACCATTGGCCTCATGGTGAAATCCCTGAGCGGTTTCCTTCCTTCCAGTAACTGAGTTAGGAAGGCCTGTATCTTTGTAGTGACTGGGTGTATTGATACACCATTCAAAATGTAATTAATAACTTCACCATGGATATTAAATGTCTGCTTTTTTTTATTTTTACCGATCTACCAATAGGTACCCTTCTTTGCGAGGGATTGGAAAACCTTCCTGGTCTTTGTGGTTGAATCTTTGTTTGAAATTCACTGCTCGAATGAGGGACCTTACAGATAATTGTATGTGTGGGGTACAAAGATGACATAATCATTCAAAAATCATGTTAAACATGCAATGTATTGTGACTTGTTAAGCATTTTTTTATACTGAACTCATTTAGTCTTGCCATTACAAAGGGGTTGAGTACTTGTTGACTCAAGACATTTCAGCTTTTAATTGCTAATGAATTTGTAAAATTTATAAAAACATAATTCCACTTTGACATTATGGGGTATCGTGTGAAGGCCAGTGACACAAAATCTCAATTTAATCTATTTTTAAATTCTGATTGTAAGACAACAACATTTGGAAAAAGTCAACGGGTGTGAATACTTTCTGAAGGCACTGTATGTGTGTGTGTGTGTTTGCTACATGCATGCAGTGTATATATGTGTGTGTGGTTTTCGCCGCTTCCAATGTGTGTATTTTTGGGGGGTTCAGGAGTGCTGTGCTCTTTGACTCTGTCCTTGAAGAGGCTTAGAGCTGGTTGGTGGAGAGCCCGTGGCTAGGGGCCACAGTGGTGCTTAGAGGGAGGGATAGAGGGAGAAGAGGGTCACTGAGGAATAGAGGGAGGGAAAGAGCATAGAATGAATGAGGGGAAAAAGAGAGGGCCACAGGGGTGCAGAGGGAGAGATAGAAAGAGGGAGGAGAGGGGCACAGAGGGATATAGGAAGGGATAGAGGGAATACATTTGCTGCCCAGAGACAGTTAGACCAAAGAAAAGCCTTCTGTTCTACTCTCCATGGGTCTTGTGCTATTTAGAGCCAGGCAGTTTAGTGTTATCTAACACAGCCCTGGCAGGGCTATAAAGGGGGTCTCTCTCTCTCTCTGTCTGTCTCTGCACCTCCTAAACTCCCACATGCAATCCTTTGCACTCTCCTTCTGCTTTCATCTACTTTTCCCATTCCCCTACCCTCTTTCTCATTCGCAACTCTGTTTCTACATCTCCCACTCTCTATGTATACCAACCAACCCCTCACTCCCTCTATCCACCTTCACTCTCTTCATCCCTCTCTCTCAATCTCTCCCCTCCATCTCTTTCTATCTATCTCTCTCCCTCATCTGTCCCTGAGAGCGGTGCTACAGCCTCCCATGCACACACTCCCACCAGGCCTTCCAGCATGTTGATGCTTCACAGAGCCCTCTGGATTCTCACAGTGACACACACACACACACACAAACTCTCTCTGATGCCTAAGGAGCCTATATACTCCTGGTGAGATCTAAAATGTAATATATCAAGGGGATTGTACATTACACCACAGACACTAGAGTTCACCTGTGTGTGTGTGTGTGTGTGTGTGCATTGTTCTGTGTGTGCCCATGTGTGTGTTTTTATCAGAGCTGACACCATATACGCCATCTTTTGTGGACCCCAGGAAGAGTATAGCTACTGGGTTAAAATACTATCCAACAATTAATTCAGTGTGTGTGTTTCTCTGTGTGACTTGCCCAGGCACTGCACTCAACTGAGAGAAAGCAGAGCCTGATAGCAACATTCTACGCTAGCAGAGTCAAGATCATGACAGATAGACTAGATAAGGCTCTCCTTAGGCTATGCTTGGAGGTTGGTGATCGCATTGGCTGTTTTTAAACCATGTTTTAATGATACCAATGAATTGTTTATATTGTACCAGTTTTCATAGAGATGTTTATGTTATGTGTGGTAACTCACTTTATCCACCATCAACTTGTTACTTATCTGTATCCATGGCAGCCATTTTGTGCCAAAACCATGCTGACTGAACATCAGTTTCCACAGTGGAGTGGTCATATTGGTGTATACAGAACAACTGTTGACCTGACCTGATACAGTATTCCATGGCGTGTGTCTTACCTGGCTGCCTTCTTTCTGCCAGAACACAGCGGGTGGGGGGTTGCCCTTGGTGCCACAGAGGAAGGTTACGGTGCGACCTTGGGCTGTGATCTGGTCCCGGGGTCGGACCACGATCTCAGGGGGCACTGTAGAGCGAGGGAAGAGTATGTTAGAATATCTAAAAAGATATGTATGTTTTTATTTCTGCTGAACTGTGTGTTAACTCATTTCTCTATGTTAGGATGTGTGTGTATGCACGTGTGTGAGTGGCTGTGTGTATGAGTGACCCTTTCTTAATGTGAGTGTGTCAGGTCTGCATGCACTGTGTATGTCCATCAAGCTGTCACCACTGACACTGTGCACGTGTGAAATTCTTAGGGGCCCACCAAAACACTGTGTGATTATAACAGTTCATCTCTTTCTACATAACACAAACACTACGGGCACACACACACACACACACACACACACACAAACACCTCTGTTTAAAATCACCACTTTGACACCCAAATCGGCTCAAACCAGCTCAAATGGCTGTGTTTTGAAATGTCAGAAAGTGCTTTGTGTGTGTGGATTTCTAGTACACACATCATTTTCTAGTACACACTTGACCATTTTTAGTACACACTTGTCTTCATTGAGAAACTCCATGTAGGCAGATTCACTACCACATTTAACATTGATAAAGAGCTTTAAAAAACGAGTACTATTCGGTGCAGTAATAGAACTGAGATTCACTTTCATATCCCACGTACACACACACACACACACACACACACACAGCAACCTCTTGATTGCTATTGATCACACCATGAGCTATTGGCTCATTTTGCACGGAGGGACTGAATGTGTAATGATGTCACCTTTGCCCTTGTGGTGCCTAATTGATTTCTCATCTCCCTGCCTGATCCCCCTCTCTTATTTCACTTTCACTTTCACTCTCAATTGGGGGGGGTTTAGAAAGGTAATGAAGACCAGGGGGTAGATAGAAAGGAGAGAGGTTACCTGCTCTGTGTGGTGTGTTTATTTCAGGATGGTTGCTCTATTGCTGAAGTGTGTACACTCTTAGAAGAAAAGGTGCAATCTAGAACCTAAAATGGTTCTTCGGCTGTCCCCATGGAGAACCCTTTGAAGAACCCTTTTTGATTCCAGGTAGAACCCTTTTGCTTCCAGGTAGAACCCTTTTGTGTTCCATGTAAAACCCTTTCCACAGAGGGTTCTACATGGAAGCCAAAAGAGTTTTACCTGGAACCAAAAAGCGTTCTCCTATGGGGACAGCCGAAGAAACATTTTGGAACCTTTTTTTCAAAGAGTGTATCACAAGCTTTCGTCCTCCTCTATCGATGCCCCACAGACAAAGCTACCCCTTCTTCCTGCCACCCTCGCTCTTCACACAGCGGGACATGCGTTGTCGACACGGCAACAACCGGATAAATCACTCGCAAAATAGACCCAGGGCAGAGGTCGTGGAGGGTCGTGTCCAGGGGTTAAACGAGACTCCACATGCCAACCCTGAAGGTCAACAAGGTCAAACCTGAAACACATCCCCTGCTGCCTGTAATTTGGGCTTTGGGCTGTGGGGCAGAAGAAGAGTTAGCTAGCGAACAAAATGAACACCAGCAAAAGGCATAATCTATGTTTCACCCTATTCTGTCTCAGTAGCTATCTCCGGGGCATGCGCTCCTATTGATTCAATCCCATTCTCATGGCTGATGCAAGCCCTGAAATGGTGAAGAAACCCAGGGTAATACCCACATCTTATGTAACCTCACCCTAGGCTTGTGCACACACAGACAGAGACACACACACACAAAGACAATGCACAATCAAAACACAAGCAAAGCCAACGTACAGTGCCTTCAGAAAGTATTCACACCCCTGGACTTTTTCCATATTTTGATGTGTTATACAGACTGAATTCAAAAATGATTAAATAGAGATTGTTTGTCACTGGCCTACACTCTTAAAAAAAAGTGCTATCTACAGTCGTGGTCCAAAGTTTTGAGAATGACACAAATACTGATTTTCACAAAGTCTGCTGCCTCAGTTTTGATTATTGCAATTTGCATATACTCCAGAATGTCATGAAGAGTGATCAGATGAATTGCAATTAATTGCAAAGTCCCTCTTTGCCATGAAATGAAAATTTCCACTGAATTTCAGCCCTGCCACAAAAGGACCAGCTGCCATCATGTCAGTGATTCTCTCGTTAACACAGGTGAGAGTGTTGACAAGGTCAAGGCTGGAAGCTTTAAAAGGAGGGTGGTGCTTGAAATCATTGTTCTTCCTCTGTTAACCATGGTTACCTGCAAGGAAACATGTGCTGTCATCATTGCTTTGCACAAAAAGGGCTTCACATTTTTCTAAGTGTACAGTCGTGGTCAAAAGTTTTGAGAATGACACAAGTATTGGTCTTCACAAAGTTTGCTGCTTCAGTGTTATGAGATATTTTTGTCAGATGTTACTATGGTATACTGAAGTATAATTACAAGCATTCCATAAGTGTCAAAGGCTTTTATTGACAATTACATTAAATATGAGTATTTTTCAAGACCTCTGCAATCCGCCCTGGCATGCTGTCAATTAACTTCTGGGCCACATCCTGACTGATGGCAGCCCATTCTTGCATAATCAATGCTTGGAGTTTGTCAGAAGTTGTGGGTTGTTGTTTGTCCACCCTCCTCTTGAGGATCGACCACAAGTTCTCAATGGGATTAAGGAGTTTCCTGGCCATGGACCCAAAATGTCAATGTTTTGTTCCCCGAGCCACTTAGTTATCACTTTTGCCTTATGGCAAGGTGCTCCATCATGCTGGAAAAGGCATTGGTCGTCACCAAACTGTTCTTGGATGGTTGGGAGAAGTTGCTCTCGGAGGATGTGTTGGTACCATTCTTTATTCATGGCTGTGTTCTTAGGCAAAATTGTGAGTGAGCCCACTCCCTTGGCTGAGATGCAACCCCACACATGAATGGTCTCAGGATGCTTTACTGTTGGCATGACACAGGACTGATGGTAGCGCTCACCTTGTCTTCTCCGGACAAGCTTTTTTTCCGGATGCCCCAAACAATCGGAAAGGGGATTCATCAGAGAAAATTACTTTACCCCAGTCCTCAGCAGTCCAATCCCTGTACCATTTGCAGAATATCAGTCTGTCCCTTATGTTTTTCCTGGAGAGAAGTGGCTTCTTTGCTGCCCTTCTGGACACCAGGCCATCCTCCAATAGTCTTCGCCTCACTGTGCGTGCAGATGCACTCACACCTGCCTGCTGCCATTCCTGAGCAAGCTCTGCACTGGTGGTGCCCCGATCCCGCAGCTGAATCAACTTTAGGAGACGGTCCTGGCGTTTGCTGGACTTTCTTAGGCGCCCTGACGCCTTCTTCACAACAATTGAACCTCTCTCCTTGAAGTTCTTGATGATCCGATAAATTGTTAATTTAGGTGCAATCTTACTAGCAGCAATATCCTTGCCTGTGAAGCCCTTTTTGTGCAAAGCAATGATGACGGCACGTGTTTCCTTGCAGGTAACCATGGTTAACAGAGGAAGAACAATGATTTCAAGCACCACCCTCCTTTTAAAGCTTCCAGTCTGTTATTCTAACTCAATCAGCATGACAGAGTGATCTCCAGCCTTGTCCTCGTCAACACTCTCACCTGTGTTAACGAGAGAATCACTGACATGATGTCAGCTGGTCCTTTTGTGGCAGGGCTGAAATGCAGTGGAAATGTTTTTGGGGGATTACGTTCATTTTCATGGCAAAGAGGGACTTTGCAATATTTGCAATTCATCTGATCACTCTTCATGACATTCTGGAGTATATGCAAATTGCCATCATCAAAACTGAGGCAGCAGACTTTGTGAAAATTAGTATTTGTGTCATTCTCAAAACTTTTGACCACGACTGTACACCCAATACCCCAAAATGTCAAAGTGACATTTCTGAAATGAACAAATTCATAAAAAATTTAACGCTGAAATGTCTTGAGTCAATAAGTATTCAACCCATTTATAATGGCAAGCCTAAATAAGTTCAGTAGTAAAAATGTGCTTAACAAGTCACATAAGTTGCATAGCTGCACCCCACACATAAAATGATCTGTAAGGGCCCTCAATCGAGCAGTAAATTTCAAACACAGATTCAACCACAAAGACCAGGAAGGTTTTTCAATGCCTCGCAAAGAAGGGCACCTGGGTAGATGGGTAAAAAAAAAAGCAGACATTGAATATCCCTTTGAGCATGGTGAAGTTATTAATTACACTTTGGATGGTGTATCAAAACACCCAGTCACTCCAAAGATACAGGCGTCCTTCCTAAATTAGTTGCCGGAGATGAAGGAAATCGCTCAGGGATTTCACTATGAGGGCAACAGTGACTTTAAAACAGTTATGGAGTTTGATAGGAGAAAACTGAGGATGGGATCAACAATATTGTAGTTACGCCACAATTCTAACCTAATTGACCGAGTGAAAAGAAGGAAGCCTGTACAGAATACAAATATTCCAAAACATGCATCCTGTTTATAACAAGGCACTAAAGTAATACTGCAAAGAAATGTGGCAAAGCAATTAACTTTTTGTCCTGAATACAAAGTGTTATATTTGGGGTAAATCCAATACAACACATTACTGAGTACCACACTCCATATTTTCAAGCATAGTGGTGGCTGCATCATGTTATGGGTATGCTTGTAATCATTAAGGACTGGGGAGTTTTTCAGGATTAAAAAGAAAGTGAATGGAGGTAAGCACAGGCAAAATCCTAGAAGAAAACCTGGTTCAGTCTGCTTTCCACCAGACACTGGGAGATGTAATAACCTAAAACACAAGGCCAAATCTACACTGGAGTTGTTTACCAAGAAGACAGTGAATGTTCCTGAGTGGCAGAGTTGCAGTTTTAACTTAAATCTACTTGAAAATCTATGGCACAACCTGAAAATAGTTGTCTACTGTAGCAATGATCAACAACTAATTTGACAGAGCTTGAATATTTTTGAAAAGAATAATGGGCAAATGTTGCAGAAACCAGGTGTGGAAAGCTCTTAGAGACTTACCCAGAAAGACTCACAGCTATAATCGCTGCCAAAGGTGCTTCTACAAAGTGTTGACTCAGGGTTGTGAATACTTAAGTAAATTAGATATTTATGTATTTCATTTTCAATAAATGTGATTTGTTTTTTCTAAAAACATGTTTTCACTTTGTCATTATGGGGTTTTGTGTATAGATGAAAAAAAAAAATAATAATCCATTTTGAATTCAGGCTGCAACACAACAAAATGCGGAATAAGTCAAGGGGTATGAATACTTTCTGAAGGCACTGTACTTTGATGATATACCGACAACAATACCAACAAAACAAGCCCTGTGTCCACTCCACACTAGACAATAGGCTTGATAACGATAACTTGACTAAGCGCAAATCCAGCTACTTTTATCTTAGAATGATTGGTGGGGTTTTTAACTGGGACTTTTTCCCCTCCGAAGCTCCACTTCGAGAATAACAATGGTGATGCTTGATTTGAGGAGGCACGCTCTCTCGCACGTCGCCTATGGCTACAATAAATAATTAGCCATAATGGCCTTTCATGCTTCTCCGGTTTCCCTGCCTCTGAAGCGCTACAGCGCTGCGCTTCAGAGGCAGGGAAAAGGGAGAAGCATGAAAGTTCTCACTTGGGATAGCACATTGTGGGAACACACTGTAATGGCGGATATAAAATATACATAACACCAGAATTGAGCGAACGTATCAGATGTGTCATAGGGAAGAAATGAGAAATGGCTTCCGCCTACTACACGTTTTGAGAAACTTAGTTCTATCTTTAAAGCCAAAATCCTGACTTTGTTTATCAGTCAAAGGTCACTTGGTTTGGTTTTAAGCTGAGGGATGTGGCTGGAGAAATGTTGGATGGCACAAGATGGAGTCTTGCATTTATCCACCTTGAAATAAAGACAATTGCTTTGAATTTCAAAAGGGGAGTCCATTGACTTATGTTAAGTGCCTATTGCAACCAAATGCACACATAACTAGGAAAACATCCATAAAGGTGTCTATTTTAACCTGTGGGAGTCCAGGACTCTTTCTTTATGATAAGATAGTGAAGGAGGTATGTTAGGAAGGAGAGTGGTGGTCAGAGTGACAGGTAAAGCAGCTGTGAGATGGTGTGTGTGTTTGTGCATGTGTGTGCACGAGTTAGTGATTGTGTACATTTGCGTGTATAGCACTTTTCAACTGACTCCTCAGCCCCCCACATACTGTGCTTATGCTAGGCCAGATCAGAGTGCAGTTAGTTTCAGTGCTGAAGTTGAATGGAACACAGCAACTCACAGCAGCTCTAAATCAAACAGGAGCAGACAGTGTTTACAACAGACAAACTAAAACCATGCACTAAGAGAGACGGGGCTCACAGTATATGTTTGATTTTGGACTTGGGCTAATACAAATTGCAGTCTACTAGCCTGAGTGCCCAAAATCCTTAAATTCCCCCCCACACACACACACACACACACTCTCAGCATTCAACACCATTGGCCCATCCTAGCTCCTCACCGAGCTTAGGACCCTGGGATTTAAAACCTCCCTCTGCAACTGGATCCTGGACTTCCTGATGGACCGGTGAGAGTAGGCAACATCACCTCCGCCACGCTGACCCTCAACACAGAGGCCCCACAGGGGTGTGTGCTTAGTCCCCTCCTGTACTCCCTTTTCACCCATGACCGCGAGGCCACGCACGACTCCAACAGCATCATCAAGTTTCCTGACGTCATGACAGCGATGATGAGACAGCCTACAGTGACCTGGCAGTGTGCTGCCGGAACACCAACCTCTCCCTCAACGTCAATAAGATCAAGGAGCTGATCGTGGACTACTGGAAACGGGGGGGGGGGGGGGAGTAAGCCCCCATCCACATCGTCAGGGCCTTCAAATCCTCAAAAAGTTATACAGCTGTACCATTCAGAGCATCTTGACTGGCTGCATCATTGCTTGGTATGGCAATAGCACCGCCCTCGATCGTGTGGCGCTACAGAGGGTGGTTTGGACAGCCCAGTACATCAATGGGGCCGAGCTCCCTGCCATCCAGGACCTCTATATCAGGCGGTGTGAAAGGAAGGCCGGGAAAATCATTCAAGACTACGGAAATGGTACCGGTGCATCAAGTCTGACACCAACAGGCTCCTAAACGACTTCTATCCCCAAGCCATAAGACTGCTACAGAGCTAACTAAAAAGCTAACAGAATGGCTACATGGACAGAGTTGACCATTGTATCTTATTGTATTTTTGCACGCAATGTGTTGAGATAAGCGTCAATAGGTTGACACTTGTCTTTTACCATTGACTGCAAATGTATTGACATACAGTGGGGGAAAAAAGTATTTAGTCAGCCACCAATTGTGCAAGTTCTCCCACTTAAAAAGATGAGAGAGGCCTGTAATTTTCAGCATAGGTACACGTCAACTATGACAGACAAATTGAGATTTTTTTTCTCCAGAAAGTCACATTGTAGGATTTTTAATGAATTTATTTGCAAATTATGGTGGAAAATAAGTATTTGGTCAATAACAAAAGTTTCTCAATACTTTGTTATATACCCTTTGTTGGGCAACAGACACATGGTCAAAAATCATTTCTGTAAGTCTTCACAAGGTTTTTCACACACTGTTGGCTGGTAGTTTTGGCCCAATCCTACCATGCAGAAATCTCCCCTAGAGCAGTTGTTGTTGTTTTGGGGCTGTCCGCTGGGCAACACGGACTTTTCAACCACTCCCTCCACAGATTTTCTATGGGGTTTGAGATTCCTGGGATACTGGCTAGGTCCCACTCCAGGACCTTGAAATGCTTCTACGAAGCCCCCGTCCTTCGTTGCACCGGGCTTGGTGGTTTGGGATCATTTGTCATGCTGAAAGACCCCATCCAACGGTTTCATCTTTCAATGCCCTTGCTGATGGAAGGTTTTCACCTATAATCTCACGATACATGGCCCCATTCATTCTTTCCTTTACACGGATCAGTCGTCCTGGTCCCTTTGCAGAAAAACAGCCCCAAAGCATGATGTTTCCACCCCCCTGCTTCACAGTAGGTATGGTGTTCTTTGGATGCAACTTAGCATTCTTTGTCCTCCAAACACGATGAGTTGAGTTTTTAACCAAAAAGTTCTATTTTGGTTTCATCTGACCATATGACATTCTCCCAATCCTCTTCTGGATCATCCAAATGCACTCTAGCAAACTTCAGACGGGCCTGGACATGTACTGGCTTAAGCAGGGGACACGTCTGGCACTGCAGGATTTGAGTCCCTGGCGGCGTAGTGTGTTACTGATGGTAGGCTTTGTTACTTTGGTCCCAGCTCTCTGCAGGTCATTCACTAGGTCCCCCCGTGTGGTTCTGGGATTTTTGCTCACCGTTCTTGTGATCATTTGACCCCACGGGGTAGATCTTGGTGGAGCCCAGATGAAATTATTGGTTTGTATGTTTCATTTCTAAATTGCTCCACAGTTGATTTCTTCAAACAGCTGCTACTTGCAATTCATCTCCCAGCCTGGTGCGGTCTACATTTGTTCTGGTTGCACAGCTCTTTGGCTTGCAATGGGTTGGGTTGACGTTAGGTTGTGGAATGTCTTTACTGAAACATCAAAAATCCATAATACAGGACGAGTGGAGACAAGGACTTTAAAGAAGAGTACGGTCTTTAGAGCCAGAAATCTTGCTTTTGTAGGTGACCAATACTTATTTTCCACCATAATTTGCAAATAAATTCATTAAAAATCCTACAATGTGATTTTCTGGATTTTATTTCTCAATTTGTCTGTCATAGTTGACGTGTACCTATGATGAAAATTACAGGCCTCTCTCATCTTTTTAAGTGGGAGAACTTGCACAATTGGTGGCTGACTAAATACTTTTTTCCCCACTGTAAGCATCAACCCTGTGACACTTATCTTTTTCCATAGAATGCCATGTATTGACATAAGCGTCAGTTTGTTGACACTTATCTTTCCCCATTGACTGTGATGTATTGACATAAGTGTCAACCTTGTGACACTCATCTTTTACCATTGAATGCAATGTATTAACAACAGCTTCTATTTCCAAGCCATAAGACTGCTAAATAGCTAACAAAATGGCTACACGGACTGTGTTGATCCTTGTGTGTGTATATACACAGTACCAGTCAAAAGTGTGGACACACCAACTCATTCCAGGGTTTTTCTTTATTTTTACTATTTTCTACATTGTAGAATAATAGTGAAGACATCAAAATTATGAAAAAACACATATGGAATCATGTAGTAACCAAAACAGTGTTAAACAAATCAAAATATATTTTATATTTGAGATTCTTCAAATAGCCACCCTTTGCCTTGATGACAGCTTTGCACACTCTTGGCATTCTCTCAACCAGCTTCACGTGGAATGCTTTTCCAACAGTCTTGAAGGAGTTCCCACATGCTGAGCACTTGTTGGCTGCTTTTCCTTCAGTCTGCGGTCCGACTCATCCCAAACCATCCCAATTGGGTTGAGGTCGGGGGATTGTGGAGGCCAGGTCATCTGATGCAGCACTCCATCACTCTCCTTCTTGGTCAAATAGCCCTTACACAGCCTGGAGGTGTGTTGGGTCATTGTCCTGTTGAAAAACAAAATGATAGTCCCACTAAGCCCAAACCAGATGGGATGGCGTATCGTTGCAGAATGCTGTGGTAGCCATACTGGTTAAGTGTGCCTTGAATTCTAAATAAATCACCAGCAAAGCACCCCACACCATAACACCACCTCCTCCATGCTTTACGGTGAGAAATACACATGCAGAGATCATCCGTTCACCCACACCGTGTCTCACAAAGACATGGCGGTTGGAAACAAAAATCTCCAATTTGGACTCCAGACCAAAGGACACATTTCCACTGGTCTAATGTCCATTGCTCGTGTTTCTTGGCCCAAGCAGGTCTCTTCTTCTTATTGGTGTCCTTTAGTAGTGGTTTCTTTGCAGCAATTTGACCATAAAGGCCTGATTCCCACAGTCCCCTCTGAACAGTTGATGTTGAGATGTGTCTCTGCCTTGAACTCTGTGAAACATTTATTTGCGCTGCAATTTCTGAGGCTTTTTAAGAAGGCACACCTGTTAATTGAAATGCATTCCAGGTGACTACCTCATGAAGCTGGTTGAGAGAATGCCAAGAGTGTGCAAAGCTGTCATCAAGGCAAAGGGTGGCTATTTGAAGAATCTCAAATATATATTTGTTTAACACTTTTTTGGTTACTACATGATTCCACATGTTTTATTTCATAGTGTTGTTTCATAGATGTCTTATTATTCTACAATATAAAAAATAGTACAAATAAAGAAAAACCCTTGAATGAGTAGGTGTGTCCAAACCTTTGACTGGTAGTGTGTATATATACCGTTTTTTTTATTTTATTTTGCAGTCTCTATGCACACTCACATGGCCCTACACACTCACGCACACTGACACTCCAACACACACACAAACACTCACTTCATCATTTGCTCACACACACATAATATGCACATACATTTATACTGACTCTACACACACACACCCACTGACATACCATCATCATATACGCTGCTGCTACTCTGTTTATAATATATCCTGATGACTAGTTACCCCTACACATATCTACCACTATCACTCCAGTATCCCTGCATATTGTAAATATGGTACTGGAACTGAACCTGTATATATTATGCTTGCTTACTTTATCGTGTTCTTCTTTTTATTTATCTTTCTATTTGTTCTACCTTATGTTATTTTTAGTATTACATTGTTATTGATTACTGCATTGTTGGGTTTAGAGCTTGCAAGAAAGGAATATCATTGTACTTGTGCATGTGATATTAAAACTTTAATCACACACACACACACACTCAAACAGACAAACACAAACATATAATTCTCTCTCTCAAGCTGTCTTACACACAGACACGCACACACACGCGCGTACACACACACACACACACACACACACACACACACACACACACACCACACACGGTAAGCAACAAAGGAAAGCCGTGTCCTCGGAGAGAGCCTCCTCAGGGGCTAAGAGTGACAGGCAGCTGTCACAGTCACATGATGATGTCGACAGACCACAGCTACACACACGCTCGAGTAGACCCGCTCGCAATTAAAAATGCACCCACACAAACGCTATTAATACTGCATCAAAAATACAACGTTTTAAGCTTGAGAGGACTTGTAAAAGACCTGCTAAAATTACCACCTTTAGAACAGAATGAATGAGTACAATGTTCTGGGACTTCAAGTTCTTTCCCTGAAGAAAACAATTGAAACAGCTATTGGTGCTAAAATCCTTGCCTTCATGTAGATTTGGAAGATGAAAGTGAACTTGTGTGTATTGACATTGCATGCTGATATGTTGCTGATAAAATGGATGCCATCTCTTAGTTGTTATTTTTCTTCATAAATTCAGGACGGATAGTGTTTTACTCTAATTTCTCTCTCTCTTTTTCTTTTTCTCTTTCTCTGTTTCTTTCTTTATCTCACTCTCTCTCTTCCTCCCTCTCTGTCTCTCTCTGACACACACACACACAAACACACCCTGTCCTCTCTCTATCTCTCACCCTCTCTCTCCTCTCTGACCCACTTGCTCCATAATTGGGTTGTTTTCCGCCCAACACAAGACTGCCTATTTAACAGGCTTACAAACATCGCCCCAGTGCTTTCCCCAGTCTTTAATCTGTTGTATCTAAATTAGTCTTACACCGTCTTATTTCCGCCTCTATTGTCCCTGTCCTTTACACATGCTAATACACAGGGCAGTTTAGGAAATAACACACTGAGATTGTCATGATTTTATTGCAGCTGCGGGCATTATAAAAAATATCCTTTGAGATTGCTTGTCTGTCCCGGACGAGCCCCCATTATGGGACCCACCCGTTTCTTCTGTTTTCCCCTCCACTTCTCATTTTGTGATACATTTTTGTTGTCTGATGGGATGTTTTTAATTTTTTATATACTGTTCTTCAACAAATCATTGTACAAATTATAAGTGGAGTCTTTCATCCCTTGGTGGCCTGTGCAAATAAAACAAAAAAAACATGTCCTTAAATCTCGTACATTCATAGCTAATTATCTAATGCTCCTGTAGCCACATTTCAATATAGATGTTGTAGATTTTTTTTGGCTTTATTTTTTTAGCAAAATCCCACTCATCCCACTGTACACAATCTTTAAGCCTACTGCACAAAGAGAATTGCCTGGCTACCCAGACTCCTTGCTCTGGCCAAACGCTACGCCATGCTCATGGACGTTAGTTTCTTCTCCACAATGAGTCTGGATATTAGTACTACCCCGACATTTCACCAAATGCGAACACATTCAGAGCCATCAGATTGGTCCAGAAACCGATGGGTTGGTCCAGAGTCAGAACACACTTGGGTAAAGCGGTGGTTTGAAAATGTGTCATTGGCTTTGATACTCTGATTGGTTAGAGACAATTCAATCGCTGATTACTTTGTTTTGTACAACGCCCCTCGCGCCCCTCCTCACCACAAAAGACTTAAATGATGGCAGTCTCAGACTAAAGTATGTAACGAACGACAGAGCAGTGGAAGAATTTAGTGTGAGTCGTCAGGCTACAAAGAGAGGCTGAAGAGGGGTGGGCTATCAGCTGATTATAGCGAATGTAGATTATGTATACCAGCTAGTTGGCTATGCTGTTGAAACAATCTAACTAGTCTTTACCTGTGATTGGAGTTTGTTCTGCTGCTGACATCTGCCTCTTATGCCTACTAACAAACAGTCTAATTGAAGCCTTCCCTTTTCCTGACTGTGATATGACACATGCAACTGCAAAGGGAGCCACTACTACACTTTCGTTCGGCGCAGGTATCTTCTGCCTGCAGTGCACACTCGCGTGGGGGCAGACGGGAGGGAGAATTTTCCACACCAACATTTTTAGAAATTAGCTAGTTTGATGGGTCATTTAATTTAAATAATGAGAGAAAATAGACTAAAAGTGAAATATGTTTTATAATTAACCAATCTCACAGGAGGACAAAAGTGCAGGTGCTCAGGCACCCTTAGACCTCTATCTGTGCATGTGGCCTGTATACTATGAATTGTTCCCTCTTAACCTACCATTTCCACTTAATTTTCTTTCATTTTGACAATGTACACTGAAGAAATATAGTGCAATATCTTCAGTTTTATGGCAGAACAACGTTTAATTTCATAGCTATGGCTTGCTTTTTATGTTTTACGAGAGACAGAAAAGCTTCTGGGTTACTCCAAAAATAATTTTTATTAACCTACACTTGGCTAATGTTACGAAAACATGGCTCTTATTTTCCTTCACAATAGCACAACAAGTAAATTGAGATAATATGCGAGTAGCTGATGGATTGGCGGTTAATGGATGTTGGCGTCTTCCGACTGTGTCCAAAATGAGTCGTGCACGGTGCTGTGGGCTAAGTGGGAGGTCTAGTGTGGGAGGGATACTAAAATGGAAACTGGTCGCAAAATATTTACATTCAACTACTAAACAGTGGCCTTTTAAATATAAAACATCTGCAACCAAGTTGGGTTACACTATAGTGTAGATGTTAGCCAAACCTCAGACTTAGGAGGAAACCTCATTTGATCTACCAAGTAGCAAAGGCGGCAGTAAATTGTCCGTAACCATTGACATAGGGTCTGATTATTTTTTTCTAACCATAATGGTTAATGCTATGATTGGGGTTAGCTTAATCTGATCCTAGATCTGTGGTTATGGGCAACTTCTACCTCAAGTGCATTGAAGGGTTTGGTAGACCTCCAAATCGTTGTAGCTACAGTTGGTCTGCGTGGCAGCAAAAAACCTCAGCCTGCCTGTCACCTTTCCTTCTGGGCTAGTATTGATCGCCTCCTCCCCTTCGCCCTGCCTCCTTCCCTCCCTTCATCCTTCTTTCAATACCATCATGCTAGCTGCCCTGGGTAATTTGCCAATGTGGGTGTAAATACCTGAGGTCAACCCTGTCCCATTGATCTCTGCTGTAATCATAATTGACAAGTCAAGGACATGACTGTGGTCCTATCATTAGCCTATTTGAAGCATTGAGCCTTAGTGCGTGCACACACACATACACACTCACTCACACACACACATACACCCCCCCCCCCCCCCCCCACCACCACACATACACACACATGCATGGTATCAGTCGTTGTAGGTGTACAAAAAAGGCTAGCTCTCCGTGTGTCAATATCACAGCCCAATTTTATCCAATTAACCTTTTTAGGCATTCCAAAGTTAATGGTTGAAGTGTTAATGGTTGTTGCTGTAAATATACAGTACCAGTCAAAAGTTTGGACACCTACTCATTCAAGGGTTTTTCTTAATTTTTACTATTTTCTACATTGTAGAATGATAGTGAAGACATCAAAAATATGAATTAACACATATGGAATCATGTAGTAACCAAAAAAGTGTTAAACAAATCAAAATATATTAGATTTGAGATTCTTCAAAGTAGCCAACCCTTTGCCTTGATGACAGCTTTGCACACTCTTGGCATTCTCTCAACCAGCTTCATGAGGTAGTCACCTGGACAGCATTTCAATTAACAGGTGTGCCTTGTTAAAAGTTAATTTGTGGAATTTATTTCCTTCTTAATGCGTTTGAGCCAATCAGTTGTGTTGTGACAAGGTGGGGGGTGGGGGTATACTGAAGATAGCCCTATTTGGTAAAAGAGTCCATATTATGGCAAGAACAGCTCAAATAAGCAAAGAGAAATGACAGTCCATCATTACTTTAAGACCTGAAGGTCAGTCAATACTGAACATTTCAAGAACTTCGAAAGTTTCTTCAAGTGCAGTCACAAAAACCATCAAGCGCTATGATGAAACTGGCTCTCATGAGGACCGGCACAGGAAAGGAAGAGCCAGAGTTACCTCTGCTGCAGAGGATACATTCGTTAGAGTTACCAGCCTCAGAAATTGCAGCCCAAATAAATGCTTCACAGAGTTCAAGTAACAGAAACATCTCAACATCAACTGTTCAGAGGAGACTGCGTGAAGCAGGCCTTCATGTTCCAATTGCTGCAAAGAAACCACTACTAAAGGACACCAATAATAATAAGAGACTTGCTTGGGCCAAGAAACACGAGCAATGGACATTAGACTGGTGGAAATGTGTCCTTTGGTCTGATGAGTCCAAATGTGAGATTTTTGGTTTCAACCGCCGTGTCTTTGTGAGACGCAGAGTAGGTGAATGGATGATCTCTGCATGTGTGGTTCCCACCATGAAGCATGGAGGAGGAGGTGTGATGGTATGTGGGTGCTCTGCTGGAGACACTGTCTGTGATTTATTTCGAATTCAAGGCACACTTAACCAGCATGGCTACCACAGCATTCTGCAGCAATACCATCCCATCTGGTTTGCGCTTAGTGGGACTATCATTTGTTTTTCAACAGGACAATGACCCAACACACCTCCAGGCTGTGTAAGGGCTATTTGACCAAGAAGGAGAGTGATGGAGTGCTGCATCAGATGACCTGGCCTCCACAATCACCCGACCTCAACCAAAGGGATGAGATGGTTTGGGATGAGTTGGAACGCAGAGTGAAGGAAAAGCAGCCAACAAGTGCTCAGCATATGTGGGAACTCCTTCAAGACTGTTGGAAAAGCATTCCAGGTGAAGCTGGTTGAGAGAATGCCAAGAGTGTGCAAAGCTGTCATCAAGGCAAAGGGTGGCTACTTTGAAGAATCTAAAATCTAAAATATATTTTGATTTGTTTAACACTGTTTTGGTTACTACATGATTCCATAAGTGTTATTTCATAGTTTTGATGTCTTTATTGTTATTCTACAATGTAGAAAATAGTAAAAGTAAAGAAAAACCCTTGAATGAGTAGGTGTGTCCAAACTTTTGACTGGTAGTATGTATGTGTATATATATATATATATGTATATGTGTATATTTTTACATTTTAGCAGACGCTCTTATCCAGAGCGACTTACAGTTAGTGAGTGCATACATTTTTATTTTTTATACTGGAATCGAACCCACAACCCTGGCGTTACAAATGCCATGCTCTACCAACTGAGCTACATCCCTGCCGGCCAATCCCTCCCCTACCCTGGACGAATTGTGCGCCGCCCCCTGGGTCTCCCGGTCGCGGCCGGCTACGACAGAGCCTGGATTCGAACCAGGATCTCTAGTGGCACAGCTAGCACTGCGATGCAGTGCCTTAGACCACGGCGCCACTGTGTGTATATGTGTATATAAATGTGTATATACAGTGGGGAGAACAAGTATTTGATACACTGACGATTTTGCAGGTGTTCCTACTTACAAAGCATGTAGAGGTCTGTAATTTTTATCATAGGTACACTTCAACTGTGAGAGACGGAATCTAAAACAAAAATCCAGAAAATCACATTGTATGATTTTTAAGTAATTAATTTGCTTTTTATTGCATGACATAAGTATTTGATACATCAGAAAAGCAGAACTTAATATTTGGTACAGAAACCTTTGTTTGCAATTACAGAGATCATACGTTTCCTGTAGGTCTTGACCAGGTTTGCACACACTGCAGCAGGGATTTTGGCCCACTCCTCCATACAGACCTTCTCCAGATCCTTCAGGTTTCGGGGCTGTCGCTGGGCAATACGGACTTTCAGCTCCCTCCAAAGATTTTCTATTGGGTTCAGGTCTGGAGACTGGCTAGGCCACTCCAGGACCTTGAGATGCTTCTTACGGAGCCACTCCTTAGTTACCCTGGCTCTGTATTTCGGGTCATTGTCATGCTGGAAGACCCAGCCACGACCCATCTTCAATGCTCTTACTGAGGGAAGGAGGTTGTTGGCCAAGATCTCGCGATACATGGCCCCATCCATCCTCCCCTCAATACAGTGCAGTCGTCCTGTCCCCTTTGCAGAAAAGCATCCCCAAAGAATGATGTTTCCACCTCCATGCTTCACTGTTGGGATGGTGTTCTTGGGGTTGTACTCATCCTTCTTCTTCCTCCAAACACGGCGAGTGGAGTTTAGACCAAAAAGCTCAATTTTTGTCTCATCAGACCACATGACCTTCTCCCATTCCTCCTCTGGATCATCCAGATGGTCATTGGCAAACTTCAGACGGGCCTGGACATGCGCTGGCTTGAGCAGGGTGACCTTGCGTGCGCTGCAGATTTTTAATCCATGACGGCGTAGTGTGTTACTAATGGTTTTCTTTGAGACTGTGGTCCCAGCTCTCTTCAGGTCATTGACCAGGTCCTGCCATGTAGTTTTGGGCTGATCCCTCACCTTCCTCATGATCATTGATGCCCCAACGAGGTGAGATCTTGCATGGAGCCCCAGACCGAGGGTGATTGACCGTCATCTTGAACTTCTTCCATTTTCAAATAATTGCGCCAACAGTTGTTGCCTTCTCACCAAGCTGCTTGCCTATTGTCCTGTAGCCCATCCCAGCCTTGTGCAGGTCTACAATTGTATCCCTGATGTCCTTACACAGCTCTCTGGTCTTGGCCATTGTGGAGAGGTTGGACTCTGTTTGATTGAGTGTGTGGACAGGTGTCTTTTATACAGGTAACGAGTTCAAACAGGTGCAGTTAATACAGGTAATGAGTGGAGAACAGGAGGGCTTCTTAAAGAAAAACTAACAGGTCTGTGAGAGCCGGAATTCTTACTGGTTGGTAGGTGATCAAATACTTATGTCATGCAATAAAATGCAAATTAATTACTTAAAAATCATACAATGTGATTTTCTGGATTTTTGTTTTAGATTCCGTCTCTCACAGTTGAAGTGTACCTATGATAAAAATTACAGACCTCTACATGCTTTGTAAGTAGGAAAACCTGCAAAATCGGCAGTGTATCAAATACTTGTTCTCCCCACTGTATGTGTGTGTATATGTGTGTGTATGTATATGTGTATACATGTGTATATATATATATGTGTGTGTTTATATATGTGTATATATGTATGTATGTATGTATGTATGTGTGTGTGAATTTGAGGAGGAGGAGAGAGACAACTTATATATATATATATATATATATATAGATATATAGATAATCTATAGTACAGACCATTTTATAGATGAACTCAAAGCTGATTGGATTGCTGCTGTTGAGCCACGTCCATATATGGTATAGCAGAGTATGATTTTACAGGGTGGCCAGGGGCATTTAACGCATATTGACTTTTACCCCCTTCATCAAGACGCCAATCATATAAAAGCAAACGGGTGGTTTCTACTATGCCCAATATGGCAAACGCCTGGACGAGACCCATCGCAAGCAATCAGATCAATCCTTGTCCTTCACTCGACACACGCTACATGCAGAGAGATGAGATGAAACAGTGTACTTACTAAACGGACCCACTGGAATGGAGAGATGGAATAAAATGGAGCAGAGAGAAAAAAAGAGAGATGAATGAAAATGAGATGGGTCGAGTTGAGTTGAGTTGAGACTTGAGGATAATTGAATGAGCAGTGCAGTCCAATGAACCAAGAATGTGTGTATCATGGTTAGATTATGTTTTACTTTACTAGTCATTTACATTACATTTTAGTAATTTAGCAGACGCTCTTATCCAGAGCGACTTACAGGAGCAATTAGGGTTAAGTGCCTTGCTCAAGGGCACATTTACGTCATTTAGCAGACGCTCTTATCCAGAGCGACTCACAAATTGGTGCATTCACCCTATAGCCAGTGGGATAACCACTTTACAATTTTTTTTTGGGGGGGGGGGGGGTAGAAGGATCAGGAAGTGAAATTGTCAGGTCAAGTCAGGAAGTGAAATTGAAATATCCTTATAGAAAATAAATGCCACGTTTCAAATATATTTTCAAACTCTTTCTATTCATCATCTGAATTGATTGAATTGGTATTGACCCCAATCCCTGGTATGAATAGGTATTATGATTTGACGACTATAGGTCAACATGAAGGGATGAATGTGTAAAGGGAGAGGTGGAGAGAGGGAACGAGAGGGCTCAGACTGAAAGAGATGTGCTCAAACAGAAACCCCTCTGGCTGTCTCCTCTAGTATGAGTGTGTTGTAGACGAAACACACACACACACACTGGCGCACCCCATTAATATTGCAGCTGCACTCTCCAAACTAAATAATCTCCCCAACAGCCACACAAAATAATCTCCACGCAACTCCATGCCATAAGCTCCTATTGGTGCATGTGCCTGTGTCTCTACTTATGTGTGTGTGTGTGTGTGTGTGTGTATGCATGTGTGTGTGTGTGTCACTCTGTACCAGTGAGTGTGTTTGCATGTCATGTGTACACATCCCCATATTTGTATGTGTCCACATTCATGTGTGTTGTGCCCGGTCTTACCGTGGACCTGCAGGCTGCCCGATGCCTCTGCCTTTCCCACGCTGTTCTCAGACACACAGGTGTAGGTGCCCTCGTCTTCAGCCCGGACCTGGGTCAGACGCAAGCTGTGGTCACTGTGGATCTCTGACCTGCAACAACAACAGCAGCAGCAGAGCAAAGCTGATAGGATGGTACTGTATGCTAACTGGGATCCATTCACCCTCATTGATTTCTGGTGACCAATGCTAATGTAATGCTGTGTGTGTATCTATCTATGTGTGTGTGTTTGTGTGGATCCTCACCTGCCGCGGGGCAGCTCTCCCTCCTCTCTCCTCCAGCGGATGGTGGGGGCGGGGTCTCCATGGGCCTCACACAGGAAGTCCACTGTGTCATCAGCCAACACCACCTGGTTCACCGGACGCTTAACAAACATGGGCCGCTCTGACAGACGGACAGAGAGACAGATATGGTCAGAGAGAGAGCTAAGTTAAGGAAGAAAGAGGGAGAAAAAGCAAAATAAGGAGAGAAAGATGGCGAGACAAAAGAGGAGGGGGGTAAGATTGGAGAGTGGGAGAAGTAGGGAAAAGATGATGAATTCACAGTAGAAGATAAAAAGTGAGCAACAGAGGGAGAAGAGGAAACACAGATGCAAGAGCATTTGAATGTGAATTTGAGGAGGAGGAGAGAGACAACTTAACATGTTGCTAGACATGTTGAAACTCACCAAACACCACTAGTTCTGCTGGGTCGCTGTCCCTTTCCCCTACCATATTGGTGCCCACGCACACAAACATGCCCGCATCGCTCTTCCTCGTGTTTGAAATCATCAGCTTTCCTCCTCGGATCTATAGATAGATGGAGGGGAAGGGAATAAACAAGCATGTTAGTCAAGAACACTGGAGCTTGGTGGCACCATAATTGGGGAGGACGGGCTCTTGGTAATGGCTGGATTGGAACAGGTGGAATGGTATCAAATACATCAAACACATGGTTTGATGCCGTTGCAGCCATTATTATGAGCCGTCCTCCCCTCAGCAGCCTCCACTGGTCAAGAAGTAAGCCACAGTGTCCCCTTAAAAGCCACCACAGGGGGAAGAGTGATGATGTTCTTGTCATGTCCCCAAGGCCATTCACTCTGTCATGTTATATATTGAGTGAACAACATTTTAGGCATTTGGTTATCTGTGTCTGATTGTGGTTGTCTCCTTGTCTCTCTTTCTCTCCCTCCCTCCCTCTCTCTCTTATTCTCTCTCACTCAATCTCTCTCTCTCCACAGCCCTAGCATCACATTTCCTCTCTCTCTTTCCTTCTCACTCTCCCCCCTCTCTCCCACCCTACTCTCTTTCTGTTTCTGTCTCTCTCTTTCTCCAACCTCACCTCACCCCACCCCACTTTCTATTTCTCTCTCCCAACAAATATGGAATACATATAACAAGAGCCTTCCCAGCTAGCACATTTGGTTCCTTGGAAGTTGTGGGAACGTATGTTTTTGGTTTCAGATTGGTTGTGTCTTCGAAGCCATACGTTTCCTGACAAGTAAAACAGAGCGTTTTTTAAACTTGTATTTTTAGGTTGCAGGGAGGTTCTGATAATGTTTTACTCTAGTTCCTTTAAAGTTTTTCTGTGAGGTCTTATTAATACTCTGAGAAAAGAAATTATGTTTCAATAAAACTACTTCTAAAATTACTATCTTATTTTGGGTTAAATTTTTTGAACTCCAAATAGGACACATGGAAATTAATTTCATTAGGCATTAATTATGCAAATGCATTTATTTTTTATTGTGACAAGGCATCAGAGAGATTCAAACCTATAAACTCCTGTTCTTTATCCATGGAATTAACCCACTTCACCACAACGATGGAGCTAGCATGCTATGTTGTTGTTTTTTACGCATACAAAGCTGTTCATTTTTGTCTTTTCAAACAGACCCCATTTCAAAGGAAACAAGCACTCTTTAAGATCAGTTGTAGCCAATTAGTGGGTGTGGCCAACACACCTGAACACACTTAACAAGATAGAGGATAGATAATTTGGTTGATGCTGAGAACAGAATGAATATTATATTATATTATATTAGTTTTCTTGTGGTTTTTATGGAAAGTTTTATTAACGTTCTCGGAACAATTTGAGAACATGACTTTAAATAGAACCATGAGGAAACCTGTAGGAAACGTTGTGCTTAAGTACAGAAATTCCCACATAAGAACATTGTTTCTTAATGTTCTCTGAACTATGTATTAAATTAAATGTAAAGATGTTTGAACTTTTAGGAAAGTTTCTGTTAAAGTAATGAAATACCAATATTATATATATTTTTATTTTGTAAAGTTCCTTAAATGTGCTGAGAATGTTCCAAAGCCAAGCAACTATCGTGCACCACTCCCATAAAGTTGTGGGAAGATTGTTTGCAAATTAACCAAAGGACAACCATGCTCTCACCAAGCTCTAAGAAACATGTGGTTCTTAGAACGTTATGTGCTAGCTGGGTTCTATTTAGATAGGTGACTGTAGTGTGAGTTATGTGTGTAGTGTATTATATAGTGTATCTGAGTGCTTTAGGCCTCAGGGAGAGCAGAGAGGTGGTCTGTTGTGGTGGTGGGTCTGCTTTCGTCATTACACCTTCAAATAGATTCAATTCAATGTGCTATATAATCCATTCATTTCCATCATTGCCGATAATCAAAAATCAATGCAATTCCATACACATGATTGTCCATTATAGCATTGAGCATATAACTGTCATACATCATTGACCAGTGTTCAGCTGACAAATGAATACAACCATACGGTCTATGGATACAACACTGAAATGATAGAAAGATGAAACAGAGGTATAGATATAAGTATTCTAGGTTCTACATCTATATAGGTATACAGTGCCTTCAGAAAGTATTTAATACCCCTTGAATTATTCCATATATTGTTGTGTTACAGCCTGAATTCAAAATTGATAAAAAATTATATTTAGTTTGAAGGTTCTGGAGTCTGTATTTAAGAAGTATATGAATACACAAAAATACAAGTTACATAAAGGAAGCTCTATCCAACTAAAATCACATTTCATAAGACTCAACATGTGAGAAGAAAGAAAATCATAAAGTACAGTGTTAAAAGTACACAGCATATGAAGAGGATGGGAACATTTTAACAAATCAGAAATTGTGTTGTGTCCTGATTGACCATACAAAAAATAAGCCACAGCTGTCCCATGGTGGTGCAGAGGGTTAATTATCTAGCTGCAGTTCTGAAGATTGCAAGTTCAATCCAAAATGTTCTGTAACCATATTTATTTACAACACAAGTGAAATTGAGGGTCAGATATACTCTCCTAAGAGAAGATTTCATTATTTTGTCCAGATTTATGAAAAAGAAAACATTGTGTAAAAATTGACTGTTCAACTTTAAAAAACACCCCAGATATAAAGCAAAAGTTATCCTAGCTCAGCCCTCATAGTCTTGGATACCTTGTAAATATGGGCCCAGAAGTATGCAGCATATAAAGAGGATGGGTGAAGTGATGGTGAATAACCCACTTACCAGTATTTCCCTGGGTTAGTTATGTCTAAGAATGCTAAAAAGGAAGCATGGAATTCCTGATTGGCCATACTACCATGGCTATATACTGAAAAAAGATGATGAAAGAGAGCTTCCCTGGTGGTGCAGAGGATAAAAGACCAGGTTTGTGAACCAAATATTGCAGGTTCAAATCCCACATGGGCAGATAGTCAAACATATGAAGCGTATTTGTCACGCCCTGACTCAGGGGACTCTTATATGTTGAGTCAGGGTGTGTATATTCTTTGTTGTATGTGTATTTCTATGTTGGCCGGTGTGGTTCCCAATCAGAGGCAGCTGTTGCTCGTTGTCTCTGATTGGGGATCACACTTAGGCAGCCTATTGGCACTGTGTAGTTGTGGGATCTTGTTCCGTGTAAGGTATGTTGTGTGTGCTACCTTGGACTTCACGTTTCGTTTCATTTGTTGTTTTGTGTACGTATATCATGCTGCGCCTTGGTCTGACCCGTCTTTCAACGAACGTGACAGAAGATCCCACCAAACGAGGACCAAGCAGTGTGCCCATGCCCATGTCACAGGTGGCCAATTTGTGGTCATGGGAGGAGATATTTGCGGGGAAAGGACCATGGGCTAAGTTAGATGCCCAGGCAGGAGAGGAGCAACGGCAACACGGAGGAAGTCCGAGAAGCAGCCCCAAGAAACATTTTTTGGGGGGCACACGGGGTGGTTGGCGGAGCCTAGGGTTAGAGCAGAGCCAACTCCTCGTACTCACGCGAAGAGGCGTATGACTGGGCAAGCTCCGTGTTATGCGGAGCTACGTACTGTGTCGCCAGTGTGCCGGCACAGTCCTGTATGTCCTGTGCTTGCACCACGCACGTGCCGTGCGAAGATGGGCATCCAGCCAGGACGGGGTGTGCCGGCTCAACGCTCCTGGTCTCCAGTACGCCTCCTCGGTCCCGCATATCCTGCGCCAGTTCTACGAACTGTATCGCCAGTGCGCGTGCACAGCCCAGTGCGTCCTGTGCCAGCACCCCGCACGTGTAGTGCGAAAGTGGGCAGCCAGCCAGGACGGGTTGTGCCATCTCTCCGCTCTAGACCTCCAGTCCGCCTCCACAGCCCGGCCCGGCCTGTTCCTGCTCCTCGCACCAAGCCAGTGGTGCGCGTTGCCAACCCGGCCCGGCCTGTTCCTGCTCCTCGCACCAAGCCAGTGGTGCGCGTCGCCAGCCCGGCCCGGCCTGTTCCTGCTCCTCGCACCAAGCCAGTGGTGCGCGTCGCCAGCCCGGCCCGGCCTGTTCCTGCTCCTCGCACCAAGCCAGTGGTGCATGTCGCCAGCCCGGCCCGGCCTGTTCCTGCTCCTCGCACCAAGCCAGTGGTGCGCGTCGCCAGTCCGGCCCGGCCTGTTCCTGCTCCTCGCACCAAGCCAGTGGTGCGCGTCGCCAGTCCGGCCTGGCCCGTTCCTGTCCCTCGCACCAAGCCAGTGGTGCGTGTTCCTAGTCTGGCCCGTGCCTGCTCCTCGCACCAGACCAGTGGTGCGTTTGTCCAGTCCGGCACGGCCCGTGCCCGTTCCACCGGTGCCTGGTCCGGCACCGGTCAGCTGCTCCACTCCGGAGCCAGAGCAGTCCTCTCCACCGGTGCCTGATCCAGCTCCGGTCAGCTGTTCCACTCCGGAGCCAGAGCAGTCCGCTCCACCGGTGCCTGATCACGCTCCGGTCAGCTGCGCCACTCCGGAGCCAGAGCAGTCCACTCCACCAGGGTCCAGTCCAGCTCCGGTCAGCGGCTCCACTCCGGAGCCAGAGCAGTCCGCTCCACCGGTGCCTGATCCAGCTCCGGTCAGCGGCTCCACTCCGGAGCCAGAGCAGTCCGCTCCACCGGTGCCCAGTCCAGCTCTGGTCAGTGGCTCCAGTCCAGACCATGACGTCAGCCCCTCTCCAGGTTCGGGGTCTCCCACACCAGGGTCCAGACAGGGCCTGGCGTATCGTGGGAGGAAGGAGAGGGGAAGCAGCGCGCCGAGGTCCAGACCAGACCAGGGGCGCAACAGGGAGGCGGAGAGTGAGAGGTCGTCACGCCCAGAGCCGGATCCGCCTCCGAGGCGGAATGCCCACACGGCCCCTAACCTGTTATGTTTATGTTGTGCGGTCGGAGTCCGCACCTTTGGGGGGGGGGTACTGTCACGCCCTGACTCAGGGGACTCTTATATGTTGAGTCAGGGTGTGTATATTCTTTGTTGTGTATGTTCTATGTTGTATTATCTAGTATGTGTATTTCTATGTTGGCCGGTGTGGTTCCCAATCAGAGGCAGCTGTCGCTCGTTGTCTCTGATTGGGGATCATACTTAGGCAGCCTATTGGCACTGTGTAGTTGTGGGATCTTGTTCCGTGTAAGGTATGTTGTGTGTGCTACCTTGGACTTCATGTTTCGTTTCATTTGTTGTTTTGTCGTGGTGTTTATCAGTAAATAAACATGTACGTATATCACGCTGCGCCTTGGTCTGACCCGTCTTTCAACGAACGTGACAGTAATAAAACATGGTTGTGTTTGTATAATTAAATGTCCTATGAATGAAATTAAAATGCCAATGCCAAGTCTCTATATCATATAGTGCTTTCGGAAAGTATTCATACCCCTTAACTTATTCCACATTTTGTTGTGTTGCAGCCTGAATTCAAACTGTATTAAATATATGTTTTCTCTCATCCATCTACCCAACATACCCCATAATGACAAAGTGAAAACATATTTTTAGAAATGTTTGGTAATTAATTGAAAATAAAATAAATAAATATCTAATTTACATAAGTATTTCTGGGTAAGTCTCTAAGAGCTTTGCACACCTGGATTGTGCAACATTTGCCCAATTGTGTTGTCTGTTGTAGTTATTGCTTGTGATTTATGTATTTATGCACCTATTGGTGATGCTCTGCTGGTGTTTGTTGAGATGTAAGACACATTTCCTGAAAGGGACACACAATAAATAATTATATTATTATTATTTTCAAAATACTTCAATCTCTGTCAAATTGGTTGTTGATCATTGCTAGACAACCATGTTCAGGTCTTGCCATACATTGTCAAGTAGATTTAAGTTAAAACTGTAACTTGGTCACTGAGGAACATCACTGTCTTCTTGGTAAGCAACTCCATTGTAGATTTGTCAATGCATTTTAGGTTATTGTCCTGCTGAAAGGTGAATTAATCTACCAGTGTCTAGTGGAAAGCAGACAAACAGGTTTTCCTCTAGGAGTTTGCCTGTGCTTACCTTCATTACGTTTCTTTTTTATCCTGAAAAACTCCCCAGTCCTTAATGATTGCAAGCATACCCATAACATGATGCAGCCGCCACCCATAACATGATGCAGCCGCCACTATGCCTGAAAATATGGAGAGTGGTACTCAGTAATGTGTATGTATTGGATTTGCCAACACTTTGTATTCAGGACAAAAAGTCCAATTTTTTGCAGTATTACTTTAGTGCCTTGTTGCAAACATGGTGCATGTTTTGGAATCTTTTTATTCTGTACAGGCTTCCTTCTTTTCATTCTGTCAATTAGGATAGTATTGTGGAGTAACTACAATGTTGGTGATCCATCCTCAGATTTATCCTTTCACAGCCATTAAACTCTGTATGTGTTTTAAAGTCAACATTGGCCTCATGGTGAAATCCCTGAGCGGTTTCTTTCCTGTCCGGCAACTGAGTTAGGAAGGACACCTGTATTTTTGTCTTGACTGGGTGTGTTGATACACCATACAAAGTGTAATTAATAACTTCACCATGCTCAAACGGATATTCAATGTGTGCTTTTTATTTTATTTTTACCCATCTACCAATAGGTGCACTTCTTTGCAAGGAATTGGAAAACCTCCCTGTTCTTAGTGGTTTGAAATTCCCTGCTCGACTGAGGGACCTGACAGATAATTGTATGTGTGGGGTACAGAGATGAGGTAGTCATTCAGAAATCATGTTAAACACCATTATTGCACACAGAGTCCATGCAACTTATTATGTGACTTGTTAAGCACATTTTTACTCCTGAACTTATTTAGGCTTGCCATAACAAAGGGGTTGAATACTTATTTACTCAAGACATTTCAGCTTTAAATGTTTTATGAGTTTGTATGGGGTATTGTGTTTAGGCCAGTGACAAAACAATCAAAATGTTATCCATTTTAAATTCAGGCCGTAAAACAACAAAATGTGGAAAAAGTCAAGGGTTGTGAATACTTTCTGAAGGCACTGTACTTATAGATATAATAGATAGACAGATATATAGTGCATCCGGAAAGTATTCAGACCCCTTTTACTTTTTCCACATTTAGTTACGTTACAGCCTTATTCTAAAATGGCATTTTTTTTAAAATACATTTTCCTCATCAATCTACACACAATACCCCATAATGACAAAGCAAAAACAGGTTTTTAGATTTTTTAGCAAATGTATTAAAAAAATAAAACAGATACCTTATTTACATAATAAGTCTTCAGACCCTTTGCTATGAGACTCAAAATTGAGCTCAGGTGCATCCTGTTTCCATTGATCATCCTTGAGATGTTTCTACAACTTGATTGGTAAATTCAATTGATTGGACATGATTTGGAAAAGCACACACCTGTCTATATAAGGTCCCACAGTTGACAGTGCATGTCAGAGCAAAAACCAAGCCATGAGGTCGAAGTAATTGTCCGTAGAGCTCCAAGACAGGATTGTGTTGAGGCACACATCTGGGGAAGGGTACCAAAAAATGTCTGCAGCATTGAAGGTCCCCAAGAACACAGTGGCCTCCATCATTCTTAAAACCTCTTAAGGATCGGACCCTTTTTTTCAATATTCGCCTAAAATGACATACCCAAATCTAACTGCCTGTAGCTCAGGACCTGAAGCAAGGATATGCATATTCTTCATATCATTTGAAAGTAAACCCTTTGAAGTTTGTGGAAATGTGAAATTAATGTAGGAGAATATAACACATTAGATCTGGTAAAAACATTTGTTTTCTTTTTTTTTTTATGCAAGAGAAAGGCCAGACAGTGATGCAGGATTCTAGATGTAAATTAGATGTTGTCCACCAGATGGTAGCGATCTGTGTGCAAAGTTTCAGACTGATCCAGTGAAGAATTACATCACTAAATGTTTAAGTTTGCACACTCCCAGGAATGTCATAAATTATGGATCATTAGCTTCCCTACAGAAAAGACACTAACCTTCACACATCTAGATGGCCGGGCGGGGTGAGTGTGGAGTCAAGAGGTCAAACTGTAGAACCCAGTTCCTACATTTGAATATAAAAATTGATTTTTCAAACAAAACTACACTACATTTTATTTCTGAGACCCTCAGGATGACAAATGAGAGCAAGATTACTGAATGTAAGTACATTATTTACCTTCAGAGGTGAATGTACCAAACCAGTTGCCGTGATAAAAGTGTTTTGTTGTTGTGCACTATCCTCAAACAATAGCATGGTCTTTTTTTTAGCTGTAATAGCTACAGTAAATTGGACACTGCAGTTAGATTAACAAGAATTTAAGCTTTCTGCCCTGGAAAGTTGGCTGTTGTTTACAACACCATTCCAGTCACATATCGCATATTGAGCAACAACCGTCCCGTAAAAGGGACACCGATCCCGTAGAGGTTAAATGTAAGAAGTTTGGAACCACCAAGACTCTTCCTTGAGCTGTCCGCCCTGCCAAACTGATCAATCGGGGGAGAAGTGCCTTGGTCAGGGAGGTGACCAAGAACCCGATGGTCACTCTGACAGAGCTCCAGAGTTCCTCTGTGGAGATGGGAGAATCTTCCAGAAGGACAACCATCTCTGCAGAACTCCACCAATCAGACCTTTATGGTAGAGTTGCCAGACGGAAGCCACTCCTCAGTAAAAGGCACATGACAGCCCGCCTGGAGTTTGTCAAAAGGCACCTAAAGACTCTCAGACCATGAGAAACAATATTCTCTGGTCTGATGAAACAAAGATTGAGCTCTTTGGCCTGAATGCCAAGCGTCAGGTCTGGAGGAAACCTGGCACCATCCCTATGGTGAAGCATGGTGGTGGCAGCATCATACTTTGGGGATGTTTTTCAGTGACAGGGACTGGGAGACTAGTCAGGATCGAGGTAAAGATGAATGGAGCAAAGTACAGAGACATCCTTGATGAAAACCTGCTCCAGACGCTCAGGACCTCAGACTGGGGCGAAGGTTCACCTTCCAACAGGACAACGACCCTAAGCACACAGCCAAGACAACGCAGGAGTGGCTTCGGGACAAGTCTCTGAATGTCCTTGAGTGGCCCAGCCAGAGCCCGGACTTGAACCCGATCGAACATCTCTGGAAAGACCTGAAAATAGCTGTGCAGCGACGCTCCCCATCCAACCTGACAGAGCTTGAGAGGATCTGCAGAGAAGAATGGGAGAAACTCCCTAAATACAGGTTTGCCAAACTTCTAGCATCATACCCAAAGGTGCCAAAGGTGCTTCCACAAAGTACTGACTAAAGGGTCACATGTAAATGTGATATTTCCGTAAATTTGCTAAAATCTCTAAAAGCCTGTTTTTGCTTTGTCATTATGGGGTATTGTGTGTAGATTGATGAGGGGAAAAAAACAATTTCATCAATTTTAGAATAAGGCTGTAACATAACAAAATGTGGAAAAAGTCAAGGGGTCTGAATACTTTCCGAATGTACTGTACAGGCCTCCTTTTTGGGATAGCCACAACAATGAAAGTATAGAAGGATGAAACAGAGGTCTATAGACAGATGGATAGGACTCACGGTGATCCTCTCGTCATGGTCGTTGACCTTCATGTTGTTCCTCTTCCAGGAGATGGTGGGCTCTGGGTGGCCCCGCGGGGGGATGCACTCCATGACCGCCGGCTCCCCCGCCGCCACGACCACGTCACTGGGTGTCTGCCTGAAGTCATCCCTCAGGACTGGAGGTAAGAGAGAGGAGGGAGAGGGAGGTCAATTGTTATTATACAGCAATCATTCATTCTTATAATTATAATACGTATTTTTTGCCAATAAAGCAAAATTACAGATGGAATTGAATAGAGAGAGGGAGATACAGACCACTACGCCTAGTACCCAATTCCAAATCAACCCCTAACCCCCTGATGCAATACGATTGGAAAGGTAATAGCAAGATCATAATAGCTCCACCTTTCCCTCTGTCAGGGACAGACACAAAGATACCGTGAAAGTCCACATCAGAATTCATAAGTTAGGGTAGTCTACCACATCTTTCACTGTACAGGGTGGCTGCATAAATGCATTATAATGTAGGCTAAGTTTCATGTGTAAGTACGAACTGTATGCCATAAAGCTTAGCTGCCTCCGCTATCAAGTCTTGTTAAATAAGGGGTGAATGCAAAACAGATTAAATTCAACAAGCAAGAGCGGCTCTCAGTGTATGATTTAGTTGAATGACCCAAAGCCCCTCAATACTGAGATAATAATGATATGACTTGTGATAAAAAAATGTGTGTGTGTGTGTGTGTTGCCTCCCTATGGTCTTCATTGACTCAATGTCCTGAATGTGTGTGTGTGTGGAATTGCGGCTCATCAATAATGGACAAGCTGCTTTCTGACACAAAGTGGATGAATTATTAAATCGGCCCAACACACTCCCCAGACACATACACACCCATATGCATGAGACAGAAATACAAACACTTACAGAACATACAAAAGAGACAAACATGTACACACACTTGCACACAGAGCATAAGACAAAAGCTTACAGAAATACTCACAAACACACCTACACACTCTCACACACATACAACCACGCACACCAATAACATAAACTCTACCAATAATAACCAACCACCCTCTCTCTACCAGCCAGTGCCTCTCTACACCTACATGCCAGATGCAATCAACCATCAACCCTTCTTCTTCCCTCAATCTGGCTATGCCCTTAAGCTAGCACCAGAGGATAAAGTTCCGTGAGGATAAAGTTTATGAGCAGAAGGGATATTGCTTTGGACTCGATCCAATATACTGTAATACCAGACTGCTGCTGATATGGATTAAACTGAATGGAGTCTGTTGGAAAATGTCAGTAGCCTGTATCAGTGTGTTAAAAATAACTATGAGGATAGTGGAGTTGGTATTTGGTCGTATTTCACTTAGGCCACAAGTGGCTAGTGATAAGAGACGATTGGATAGAGTTCTAGGTAGTTTCAGTGCTTTGGGTAGAAGTTGCCCTTAATGACAGATCTAGAGACATCTTACCCATCTGTTAGTCCCAACTTTAACCATTGGGAGTAAAATGGGAGTATATGACCTTGGATCAGTGCTTAGGGGTAACTTCAACTCTCAGGGTCAACAATGTGTGTGTGTGTGTCAGCCAATCACATGAAGAGCTAAATTACCAGCTCACTGAGAGGCCTGCTGCGGCCAATCATCATTTGGTCTCAGGCGAACAACAAAACAAGACACTGTCTCTCTTTCAGTGGCAGTGTTTACCCTGTGATAATCTAATAAGAAAAGCTGTTATGAAAAGCTGTTTCATTATTTTTATATTTTTTATGTTTCTGTTTTTTAAAATGTTTTTATGCTCAAAATCTCAGAATGTGCTAAAACTGCATCAAACCCTCAGGAAACATGCCAGGGTATTCATGCCTTCCTTTCCATCAATTCAAATCCATTCAAATCGTTGACACTCGCGGCCATTCCTGATTCCAGTCACTGTCGATGGACAGGGTCATCATAGGCCTCACTGCTTTGCCTAGCATCATTCATTACATTGAGCCAATTTCATATTTTGTGCATGCGTATTGCCTAAACATGTTGTGTGGGTAAGCTCTGTTCATTTGGTAAGCTCTGTTCATTTGGCCGTGTCTACATAATTTGGCACCCGCATCCCTTGAAATTAATTAAGCTAGCTAGAAAAAAACAACCTGACAAATGGACACTGTACTGCACCTCCAAAATTTCCAAGGATAACTTGATATAATTCAGAGAGGGAGACCAACACCTGCACTTCCTGACCATCAGAGGAAGGGACATAAAATAATCCAATATAATGTACCACACTCGGCCTGACACAGCAGCCCGGCGCAGACAGCCAATCAGAGATGAGAGGAATGTTTTAAAGCATTTTGGACAATATCAGTGTTCAAATGGAAGCCATGTTTTATCATTTTGTCATCCTGGGCCCTGAAACGCTGTCACACTGAGAGGTTCGGCCTGAAGGACAGACGAATGAACTTCATTTAAAAGTAAAGGTAGGCCTAATTAATTGCATTGTCCTTTGCAATTTGCGGGTTAGGCTACTGTTTAAATGAACATGAGAATACACAACATCCCTTTGATATATTTGATTTATAAAGCTTGAATTTTGTTTTGATGAGACACTTTTTTGACGTTTTAAACTGCATTTTTTTTGTCATTTTGATTGTTGATATGGAAATTTCGTTAGAACCTTATTTATAATATATATACATTTAGTTGTGTGTAATAATATGTGTGTGTGTGTGTGTGTGTTTGTGTGCAGTGCATTGGAATGCATTGTGAAAGGCTAACTATTCGGATTAAATGTGTCCATATATTGAACTTTTAGTGTCTATGGCTGAGCTGAGTTGAGATGAGTTGAGCAGTGTCATTTTGTCGGTTGATATGGAATATGCCGCCATCGCAGGCTATCGCTTGTGTATCCTGGCTACATTGGTATTTACATTTAGTGTTTTTTTTGTTTGGGGGGGGTTATAGTCTATGTCACTCTGGTTGTTGGAGCTATCTGTTGTACGGTGAACTTGGGCTTCATCAAGGTTTATTTGTGAGTATATCTGGCATTGATAATCGCCAGTGCCTACCCAGCCACCAATCGCACCGCACGTCACTGCTCTCTCCCTCCCTCTCTCTCTCTCTCTCTCTCCTCTCTCTCCCTCTCTCCCTCTCTCTCTCTCTCTCTCTCTCTCCCCCTCTCTCTCTCTCTCTCTCTCTCTCTCTCTCTCTCTCTCGCGCTCTCTCTCTCGCGCTCTCATGTTCTCTATCTACCTATTAATAATGCATGATGGATCTGCCTGTAAGGTGTCTTCGGTCAGTCCCCCCCCTCCATCCTTCATTCCCAACATCCCTCTTTCTCCCCTGCATCTTTCTTAAGCCTTCTGCTTGCTGTTGCTACCTGAAGGCATTTTCTTTCTCTCCCTCTTTCCTTGTTCTTTCTCTCCTTCTCTTTTTGAGTCCCTATCAGGTTTCAGGTGTGATCCAGGCTTTTGTTGTTCCCAGATGAGATCTTGACATACAGTGGCCTACCTAAAGAGGCCAAAGCCTCACTTGCCTTCGAGCTAGCAGCCTGGCCTAAGCCACTCTAGGGATTTGGGGGGGGGGGGGGGGCTGGGGGGGTACCTAAACTATGAGAGGGATCACTGTCTAACCCCAGGCTCCTATCCTTCTCAAATATTGCCCCTTAACCCCCCTTTTGTAAAATGGACCCTGCCAAAAATTCCCTTTCACGTCAGCTTCTGTCCCACAGTTAGCCGATGGGAAACTTGTGAAAATAGGGGGTGTCTTCGCCTTCTAAAGTTACTCAACATTCTACACAAAATCGCACACTCATCTTTGCAAATGTGAGTGAATTTCAGATTCGGACATCAAGGCTGGTAGATGATTTATTGATGTGTGAGAGAGTTTTGGGGGTGAATGTGTTGCATACATTATGATAACCTGATTAGGAATATTCATAAGTTATATCAATGCGTACATGTTCTCACTACGGCCACACTGAACCTGCTCCCGTGAGTATGGAAAGAGCGGAGCGGTCAAATCTGCCAGTAAAATGATCAGAGGTAAGATTTCCGTCCAAAAAGTTTTCCTCCCCAAAAAAGTTGGAAGGCATTAATTGCAACAGCGCTCAAGTATTATATTGTCTATTATTCAAATGTTCCGATTAAAAAGCTTTAAGTCACACAAAAAGCATCACTATCCCTTAGCGAACCGAGAAAACGTGTTATTCCTATCTTCTCACTTAGTGTGAGTGAGACTAATTAACACTAGACTAATTGCTGAACACTCCACCAGGGACGGAGGTGGCGACTATTATTTCTCACTATGAGACGAGAAAAATACTAGTGTTAACTCAGTGCTGAAAACAGCTCACAGGTGTGTCCCATTGCAATACCCTACAACTGATTCAATAGAGAGCGATGGTAGGTCCCATTTCAGTACCCTGCAACTGATTCAATAGAGAGCGATGGTAGGTCCCATTTCAGTACCCTGCAACTGCCTTGTTTTACAGTAATGAATTCCTCTCAAACTCAATCCACAGATCTTTAAGGGACGAATCTGTGTGTGTGTATTTGCATATACATGCGTGTATGCGCTTACCCTGGGGGGTTGTGCTGGTCATTAGTGACTAAATTACAGTGTTAATGTCCCCGCAATGTCACCCCAGCAGGGTGGTTTTGAGCTTAGTCTATCTGATTAATGACAACTCGCTCCTTTAATGAAGGATGAGAAAAGCCAACAAAACCTGAGGACATTACCATAACCATCCTTATGGGGACTTATGGGGACACTCCCAATCTCTGTCATGGCTAACCTCCATTATGAGGACACTCTTTATCTATACTGATGATGGGTTACCTACCTTATGAGGACTCACTCCCTATCTCTGTCAATGGGGCCATCTCATCGCTTACATTTGTGATCATTTCTCAAAATGTCAAGATAGCGTGGCGTCCCTTCTCGTGTGTGTGGGTGCGTGTGTGTGTATCTCCATACATCAGCATGTTTTGTTGATAAGCAAGGTCATGCCAGATCAGTGTCAGATTGAGAGAGAATGGGGGATGTGTTTTATTTCCACCCAACAGTGCCACAGACATATATGCTGGAAGAGAGGTTTTCTGGGGTGAATAAACTGTTGAGACTGGTGTTAAACCGCTCAACGTCTCCATCTCCTTGACGATGGTAGATTGTAGTGCCTTTACCTCATCTTATTTATGAGTATATCATTGCTATTTCTAAGCCCTTGCCTAGTGCATGTATACTTGTCCATAGGGTATATGTTAGCTCCCATACTACTGCCCCTTTCCCTAGACTCCAATCATTGGAGTGGACCACACAGCCTTTGGGACCCTCGCTCTCCCTCCCTCCCTCCCTCCCTCCCTCCCTCCCTCCCTCCCTCCCTCCCTCCCTCCCTCCTACACACACACACACACACACACACACACACACACACACACACACACACAACACACACAACACACATAGCCCCTGACCTTATCCCAACATCATATCAACCTTAACCAAACCTTCATTAACCCAGACCAAAACAGTGCACCACCAAAACTACTCAGGAACCCGTCCAGTCACGGCATGTGGTTTGGGGGAACCTATTTAGCTTGCTACTTCCCGGGTCCGGATTGGAGTGCCACAGGGTTAGGGAAAGCTTGCGTTGACCTGTCACACCCGATGCAAGGGGCCCTTGCTCCTAGGTCCCTGGATACCTCTCCTCGCTCTCCTCCCTCGTCTTTGCTTCACTGGATGGATCACAAATGGCAGCCTATTGCCTATTTAGTGCACTACTTTTGACCAGGGCCCATAAGCCAGCAGCTTTGAGAGAAGAGGGCTCCACAGAAACTTGATGAGGCACTGGCAATTACCCATAAAGCCCCTGGGGGGCAAGATTAAGCAGGTGACCCTTCACCTGCCAGTACTGACGCCCCTTCGGGGGAAGCCCCTCAACAAAGCCAGGTATAATCCCTACCGCCAGGCCTGCACGGTCCACTTCAATTAGGAGGGTGAAACACACACACAGGGACGCACAGAGAGGGACACACGACACAAGCCGAGAGACATGCACACACAGATATGCAAACAAACACACACAGATACACAATAATTGCTTATAAACAAAACAAGGTGAAGTACTGTATGGAGACACACCTGTCATTAGAAATGTAGACCCTAATGAAGGAAACCCTATTCCATCTATCAACTAACAAAAATATATTTCTCATCTCAGAAGCCGTTTTTAAGTGAGCTAGAGCTTTTCAAATCAAATCAAATCAAATTGTATTTGTCACGTGTTACAGTGAAATGCTTACTTACAACCCTTAACCAACAATGCAGTTTTAAGAAAAATAAGAGTTAAGTAAAAAATAGATAAGTAAAAAATACAAATAAAGTAAAAGAAGAAAAATAACAAATAATTAAAGAGCAGCTGTAAAATAACAGTAGTGAGGCTATATACAGGGGGTACCGGTACAGAGTCAATGTGCGGTGGCACAGGTTAGTCGAGGTAATTGAGCTAATATGTACATGTAGGTAGAGGTAAAGTGACTATGCATAGATAACAAACAGAGAGTAGCAGCAGCGTAAAAGTGGGGGTGGGGGGACGACAACAATGCAAATAGTCCGGGTAGCCATTTGATTAGCTGTTCAAGAGTCTTATGGCTTGGGGGTAGAAGCTTGGCGCTCTGGTACCACTTGCCGTAACAGTCAATGGAGTTTTTGGCAATTTTTAGGGCCTTCCTCTGATACTGCCTGGTATAGAGGTCCTGGATGGCAGGAAGCTTGGCCCCAGTGATGTACTGGGCCATATGTACTACCCATCCTGACTGGTTGCGGTGATGCAACCAGTCAGGATGCTCTCGATGGTGCAGCTGTAGAACTGAATCTGAGGACCCATGCCAAAACTTTTCAGTCTCCTTAGGGGGAATAGGTTTTGTCGTGCCCTCTTCAAGACTGTCTTGGTGTGCTTGGACCATGTTAGTTTGTTGGTGATGTGGACACCAAGGAACTTGAAGCTCTCGACCTGCTGCACTACAGCCCCATCAATGAGAATGGGGGCGTGCTCGGTCCTCTTCTTTTTCCACAATCATCTCCTTTGTCTTGATCACGTTGAGGGAGAGTTTGTTGTCCTGGCACCACACGGCCAGGTCTCTGACCTCCTCCCTATAGGCTGTATTGACATTGTCGGTGATCAGGCCTACCACTGTTGTGTCATCGGCAAACGTAATGATGGTGTTGGAGTCGTGCCTGCCCATGCAGTCATGAGTGAACAGGGAGTACAGGAGGGGACTGAGCACGCACCTCTGAGGGGCCCCCGTGTTGAGGATCAGCGTGGTGGATGTGTTGTTACCTACCCTTACCACCTGGGGGTGGCCTGTCAGGAAGTCCAGGATCCAGTTGCAGAGGGAGGTGTTTAGTCCCAGGGTCTTTAGCTTAGTGATGAGCTTTGAGGGCACTATTGTGTTGAACGCTGAGCTGTAGTCAATGAATAGCATTCTCACATAGTCCAGGTGTGAAAGGGCAGTGTCGAGCGCAATAGAGATTGCATCATCTGTGGATCTATTGGGGCGATATGCAAATTGGAGTGGGTCTAGGGTTTCTGGGATAATGGTGTTGATGTGAGCCATGACCAGCCTTTCAAAGCACTTCATAGCTACAGACGTGAGTGCTACGGGTCGGTGGTCATTTAGGTAGGTTACCTTAGTGTTCTTGGGCACAGGGACTATGGTGGTCTGCTTGAAACATGTTGGTATTACAGACTCAGACAGGGAGAGGTTGAAAATGTCAGTGAAGACACTTGCCAGTTGGTCAGCGCATGCTCGGAGTACACGTCCTGGTAATCCGTCTGGCCCTGCGGCCTTGTGAATGTTGACCTGTTTAAAGGTCTTACTCACATCGGCTATGGAGAACATGATCACACAGTCATCCGGAACACCTGATCCTCTCATGCATGTTTCAGTGTTACTTGCCTCGAAGCGAGCATAGCAATAATTTAGCTCGTCTGGTAGGCTTGTGTCACTGGGCAGCTCGCGGCTGTGCCTCCCTTTGTAGTCTTTGCTTGTAAGCAGGAATCATGAGGATAGAATTATGGTCAGATTTTCCAAATGGATGGCGAGGGAGAGCTTTGTACGCGTCTCTGTGTGTGGAGTAAAGGTGGTCTAGAGTTGTTTTCCCTCTGGTTGCACATTTAACTTGCTGGTAGAAATGAGGTAAAACGGATTGAAGTTTCCCTGCATTAAAGTCCCCGGCCACTAGGAGCGCCACCTCTGCATGAGCGTTTTCCTGTTTGCTTATGGCCGTATACAGTTCATTGAGTGCGGTCTTAGTGCCAGCATCGGTTTGTGGTGGTAAATAGACAGCCTCAAAAAATGTAGATGAAAACTCTCTTGGGAGATAGTGTGGTCTACAGCTTATCATGAGATACTCTACCTCAGGCGAGCAAAACCTTGAGACTTCCTTAATATTAGATTTCGTGCACCAGCTGATATTTACAAATATACACAGACCGCCACCCCTTGTCTTACCGGAGGCAGCTGTTCTATCTTTCCGATGCACCGAAAACCCCGCCAGCTGTATGTTATCCATGTCATCATTCAGCCATTACTCGGTGAAACATAAGATATTACAGATTTTAATGTCCCGTTGGTAGAATATTTTTGATCAGAGCTCATCCATTTTATTATCCAATGATTGTACGTTGGCTAATAGGACTGATGGTAGAGGCAGATTACCCACTCACCGTCGGATCCTTACAAGGCACCCCGACCTACGTCCCCGATATCTGCGTCTCTTCTTCATGCGAATGACAGGGATTTGGGCCTTGTCGGCTGTCTGAAGTAAATCCTTTGTGTCCGACTCGTTAAAGAAAATATCTTCATCCAGTACTAGGTGAGTAATCGCTGTCCTGATATCCAGAAGCTCTTTTCGGTCATAAGAGACGGTGGCAGAAACATTATGTACAAAATAAGTTACAAATAACGTGAAAAAACACACACAATAGCACAATTGGTTAGGAGCCCGTAAAACGGCAGCCATCTCCTCCAGTGCCATTACATTTTACACTCAACAATCACAAGGTACATCTGTTTGAGTTAGCTGTCAACGTGCATCTCTCAGCCAATATAGCTGTGTGTGTACACTAATGACAAATACGCTAGTCATACAGAATGACAAATAGCAAGTCTAAGCTTACCACTCAGTCATCGACATGCAAACATATCCATTACATTGAATCGAACAAAGAAAATAAGCTGCGCATATTTATGAAATCAATCTCTTCACCAGTGACCGGCGAATGACTCTTTGTGATGTGTCACACTTTAAATATGCCCCCACTACAACGACACTATTCAATGTCAGGTCCTTGCTAATATATCAGTGCATTGTTTGTGCTCCTGATTTGATATAAATGCTTGGGGCAGGCAGGCGGCTCACTTTTAATTAAAAATCCACTTTATCGTTATCATCAAATGTTCATCAGATGTTCAGGAAGATGCTTGTGTGTGTTTTTTTCCTCCTGACAAGCGTCAGTAATTTTCAGCAGCCCTACTCATGGATGGAGAGAGAGAGAGACAGAGAATGACGGATGATCTCAGGCTGAGAGAGAGAGAGAGAGAGAGAGAGAGAGAGAGAGAGAGAGAGAGGTGTTCCAGGCTCTGTTGTGTGGGGGTTTGAGGCGGTCATCTGACAATCTGTCCTCTTGCATCTCAAGCTGATATGAGGCAATCTGTCACACAAACACACGCACGCACAAACTCACACACACACAGGAGACGGGTTATTGAGGCCTCCACACGCACTAATCGCTGCATTTTATCATCCTCAAGCATTGATCTGATTTAGAACCAGTGAAACATAATATCCTCACACACACTTTAACAAGCCCACTAGACCCCTGATACGATTCGAAATCGGAGATTCAAATCCTAATACATTATACGACTTTGGATTTACCCAAAGTCATAGTTTATTCATAGCCGTCTAAGCCTCCGTCTCCTGTGCTGTATCAATGGGGTGTGTTTGACATTCAATGAAACCGGCCAGTGCCTATAATGAAAAGGTCAATGTATGCAATCTTTGCCTCATCTCCTGTGTTGAATTAAATAGGCCTAGGCCCATCCACCCCACCCCCCAAGAATGTCAGAATGTCAACTTTGACATATTGTTCAGACATGAAACCCAGTCTATATGGCTTTATGGTTTGCATGTCCGTTTTCTCTATGAGGGAGATGTATGTTTATTTTGTCTCGGAAACCAGATGCATAGACAGATGTATAGGGGGTGGGGGGATTGAGTGTATTGGAGGGGTCCCCGAATTGGTGATCAATAATAGTGACTGTTGGTGGGTGGGACTGGGGGTGGGGGTGGGGGTGGTGTGCAGATAGTATGCCTTAAGGGCCTCCCCATGGGGGCCCCATGGGCTTCTGGGCCCTACACTTTACTCTAGGATTGGCCTGTAAATTATTTCTTAAGACACAAATACACATGCAGCCACACATACACACATTGAGTGACAGTGACATTAGAGTTCTGCTACCCGATGCGAGCCCGAGGGCCCCGACGTTATACATCGGGTTAGGGCCAGGTAGGGACTGTTTTTTCATCAATAACTAGGGTACGGGCAGGGCTCGGGTATCACTAAATTGATCACAAACATTTTGAAGTTGAGTCATTTGCTCGTGCTCTGCTGCACAGTACAGCCATATCTGACTAAGATCATAACATGGTGTCAGAAGTGCTTAAACCTCGTCAAATATAATGTTCCTTGATTTTTGTCGGGGTTTAGTGTGACCTTTAAAGTAGCTAACAGCTAACTGCTTTCTCATGTCTCTTCGTTCGTTGAGCAGAGCCAGAGCTACTTTTGAGGAGATGGGAAACTCAGTTGGAATCATATTAATACCCATTGTGTACGTTGCCCATGCTACATCATTGGGGCCACGTGGTGCATTCTGGGCAATTCTGGGACACGGAGAGCTCTCCTTCAAGGAGTGAATGGGAGTCAATTGGGCACTAGCTCAAAAACCGAACATTAGCATGAATTTTGTCAACAAGAAGTCCAACATTACAAATATTTTCAGAGATGTGAGATATTTAACTTGCTATCTGTAATATTGTACAGCTTTGGAATTGTGACATTACATACTTTCGAGGAAAATAGGCACGTTTCTTGACTCATACCCTGACTTTGAGAAGGGATTGTGTGATGAATAGCTTAGCAGCCGCGTTACGCAACGTGACAACGTGAACACGATTGGTCGACAGTCTGCTGGGTGGGGTGTTATACAGTCAGCTCCAAAAGTATTGGGACAGTGACAATTTGTTTTTTTGTTTTGGCTCTGTATTCCAGCACTTTGGAATACGGTGACTATGAGGTTAAAGTGCAGACTGTCAGCTTTAATTTAAGGGTATTTTCATCCATATCGGGTGAACCGTTTAGAAATTACAGCACATTTTGTACATAGTCCCTCCTATTTTAGGGGACCAAAAGTATTGGGACAAATTCACTTAATAGGTAAGTATTTGGTCGCATATTCATAGCATGCAATGACTACATCAAGCTTGTGACTCTACAAATTTGTTGGATGCATTTGCTGTTCATTTTGGTTGTGTTTTAGATTATTTTGTGCCCAATAGAAATTAATGGTAAATAATGTATTGTCATTTTGGAGTCACTTGTATTGTAAATAAGAGTAGAATGTGTTTCTAAATACTTCTACATTAATGTGGATGCTACCATGATTACAGACAATCCTGAATGAATTGTGAATAATGATGAGTGAGGAAGTTACAGACTAACAAATATCATACCCCCTCCCCCGTTATTGTAATGGTGAGAGGTTAGCATGTCTTGGGGGTATGATATTTGTGCGTCAATACCCTTTCCCACAAACAGAGACACTACTGTGGCTACCTCTCTCTCTTCTCTCTCTTCCTCTTTCTTTCCCTCTCTCTCTCTCTCACTCTCTCTCACAGTCTCTCTCTCCCTCTCTCTTTCTCTCTCCCTCTCTCTCTCTCTCTCTCTTTTGTTTAAGGAAAATCAAAGCTGATTTGTCCAATTGAGGGTAATGAGCTGAAAGCAGTAAGCAATTGGGGTTATTTGGTTCTTGTAAAATTGCCTTATTGGTTTTATAAATCTACTCAACATGGCAGATAGTCTATGTCAACATGGGTTCATAAGGTAGACCAGGTAAGAATTTGGTAGGCTATACACTGAAATGGCATGCATTGTGCAGAGATGAATTACATTTTTAGAAAAACCAAATAATCAATGGCATTTGGTATGAAACCTTCTCGTAAATTGCAGAAGTGTCTGTCAGATTGTGTGTGTGTTCACATGTTTGTGTATGTGTGTGTGTGTACCTGGGGGACAGACGATCTCTAGTTACCCCTCATAATGGAGCGGCTATTAGTGTTGGGACGCAGACAGACATCCCTGTCTGTGCTACTGCTAGGACCACAGCTGTCATGGAGGGTGTGTGTGCGTGTGTGTGTGTGTTGGGGGGGATTGGTGGCATGAGCTGGATGGGTGCTTTGAGGGGGAGGTGTGTGTGTGCAAAGGGGGGGGGGGAGGGGGGGGGGGGGTTGTTTGGTGCTTAAAGGCACGTGTGGCTTGGACATCTGTCCCACCCAGAGCCCCCTCACACACACACGTACACACACAAACACACACCCCTCCCTCGATGCTCTCCCCTGGACGTTTCATCATCTCCAAACTCCCGATAGGGATCAAAGAAGGGCCCACTCTGGATAATGAGACTGGTTGATGGAGGCAGGGAAGGCTGGGACTGCTATGGTGAGGCAAGCACTGAAGGACCCAGACTGATATTGGCTTGGGGATGATAGGGAAATGAGAAGGGGGAGGAGGGGAAGCTGGGGGGATCAGTCCAGTCCAGAATGGTCCATGCCCCAGCCACAGGACCCTGGTGGTGCATTTCCTTCTCTCCTTTTCCCCCTTCCCTCATTTCTCCTCATGTTATCCCCCTCTTTTGTTTGTGGTGCGTGTTTGTCCTTGTCGCGCCACTCATTTCGACGCTGTCTCCCCTGGTTAGGCCCGTCACCTGAGTCCAGTTAACACAAAACAGCTGGGGATTCCTCCCCTTCCCCTCACAGACCCCCAAATGCTGACCTTTGGGCGGCTGATGGATTAAAGACAGCTGGCCCCACCGCGGTGGTGACGGGGCATGAAAAATGATTTCCTTTATGACAGAGAAAATGCACAGGACCCACCAGGTTGAGGGGAGTTCTGACACACAGCCATGCATATGATACCTGTTTTTTCTTTGTTGCTTTGAATTAAATGTTATTTTACTGGACAGAAGATGAAGAGACAAAGCGTGAAATGTGCTTCATTCATAGATAAACTAACAGCGTTTGCGTGTTTGATAAATACGTGTTTCCATTTGGGTAGGTATACGAGGTAATACTGTTTACAAATCAGGTTTCACATGTAGCTTTCCATTTTCCAACCACTACCCATTTTCCAACCACTACTTATCTCTTTCCACCCTTATGAGACCCAGGTGGCGACAGCTACGACAGCAGAGTCCCTGCCCATCTTCCGAAAGCACCTAAAACCCTACCTCTTCAAAGAGTACCTTAAATAATCCCCCTCCTCACCTCGAACCCCACCCCCCCCCCCCCCCCTTTCTAGCTCTGGCTTTGCTGATAACTACTTTGTTGAGGAAAAGTGTACTTACTATGCCTGTGATATGTGGTTGTCCCACCTAGCTATCTTAAGATGAATGCACAAACTGTCGCTCTGGATAAATTACTAAAATGTAAATGTAGAATGGATGCATGACAGAAAATATACACTTCTTTACAGCTTCTCAAAACTCATCAGCTTTGGCCAGAGCATCTCATGAAAACACGACTCATAACAACAAAGAAATAACGTCCGTAACTCAACCTTACATGACTTAAAACACTGTGGCTCAGACTGCCACAAAAATTGTCGGCGGAGGCCGGCAGAGGCGGTGAGGGAGAGATGGACGAGGTGAGCTGTCAAGGTGCAACATTTTAGGGCTTTCTAAGTGCTAATAAACGCCTGTGCCTCGGCCTCTCAGCAGCCTTTCACACCCGGACCTGTCAGGGCGACAAATTGGAGTAATAAATGACTGTGTGGCGACCCGACCGCACGGCTCAATGTTGAGGGTGACTGTGACCTGCTGGCCCTCATTATCAGGGGGAGTAAGGCATTGGGGGGGGGGGGGGGGGGAGTAGCCTACAGTATACAGTTTGTGTGTGCGGAGGACCAGTAAGCTCCTTGGTAACAGTGAGTTAAAGGGAGGGAGGGGAGGGTTGCTAATATGGGGGTTGGCTTGGCCTCCACCATCTCCTGCTTGCATCTCCTCCCCCCAACAGTCAGCCCCATGCCTCAGGACTACTGGGCCAGTTTGATTGAAAGAGACATATTTCAGGTCAAGAGGGGCCGTATTAAAATACAACTTGGCAACCGAAATGTTCCGACACCCACCCCCTTCTTCTCCCATCAAACTATCTTTATTTTCAACTCTCCATTTCTCTTATTGAATTAAACTCCATTGTCCTTTTTCCTCGGTAGATCGATGTTTTTTGCAGTTCCCAAAAGCATTTGGCGATTGGCATGTAGGCTATTTGGCACACGTGCAGTTAGGTCCTAAAGCTAGGCTTACGCACTAGTACTAGATAGCCTAAAATAATGAAAGAAAAACCGCAATGTAACCTACAGATATAAATTGCACAAGAACGATAAATGTATGGATTTTTTAAGTTATTGTTTTCTCTTTATTCAACCCGCCCGCCACCCACCCACCATTCATCCACACAATATTGAATTACCCTATACCCACCCACACCGTGGATATAACGGGGGGGACTGCAGGTTATGAGTCAACCCACGCATCACTAGTAGCAAGTTAGGTTTTCACCAAGTCAAATGAATGTATTGTGTAAGACGGTTCATGATGCTTGTATCTAAACCATAATAATAACTTTAAGATTTTTCTATACATCAGCTGGGGTCTATATAAGCTTCAATATGATGTCCAAACAAAGCATGAAAGTGCATCCTTGTAGCTGTGTGGGCTAATATAGTCAAAATGTTTGCCTTGGGGTAAGTTGAGCCAATGGCCATGGGTTAAGTTGAGCCAATGGTTTAGCCAATGGCAAGTTGAGCAAATTGAAGTGTTTTCTTCCCAGGCGTAATGCAAGACATTATCGCTGGGATATGAGGTAACAACAGGCCTTTGTACTTTTAAAAAGTACAACGTGTTTGTTAGGTGTTACGCCTGTGTTAAAATATGCTTAAAATGAATAAAATGCAAAAAAAAGTGATTGTGACTGTGTTGAATTGTGTTTGGGAAATATAGATAGACATGGTTTTAAAAAGGTAGTGATAATATTTCATTCAGTACAGACATTTTTTGGCGGCTCCCGTGGCTCAACTTAAGTTTTGCCAAGAGACCACTTTTTTTGGACAAGCTATAGTATGTTTTCAAAACTGTAATGTTTACATGAACTCTGATTATTTCCAGGGATACACAACATCCTGAAATATATACAGATATCTTTGTTAGAAAGAATACTATATTATATGTTAGGTAAAGGCCAGTCAAAAGAGGAAAATGAATAAAATCCTAACAGTATACAATTTTAACATTCAAAAGTCCAAACATGTAAAACCCTTGAGAGTTGTGATTCACTCTCGAAGAATAACTCAAGAATGTAAATTAATCCGTAACAATGATTCATCATTTTCTCAATCAATGATTGTAATGTAAATGGCGTACAGTGCGACAATGGGGCAGTTATCTAAATTATCAGCTGATGATTCAACATTCTAACTGTCGCACAAGAGTGACTTACTTCTGCTAAACTTGAGAGGTACAGCCCAGCCTCCTCTACAGTTGAATAGATTTGTGAGGCACAAGTCTCACACCAAGTGACTTTGAAAAGTATACTTTTCTGCCAAAATGCAGTCATTTTAGCTTTGAAGGACACTTCAAACAGACAGACAGAAGTATGTTGCGTCAAGAACTTGGATGAAAGGCTCCTTGGATAACGTTATTTACCAAAAAAAAACACTTGACTGGCAGAGGTTAGAGGAAAAAGGGGCTTCACAGCAGGAAGCCTGTTATTACAAACACTATGTCCACTTGTTATTCAGTGCCTCTGTCATGTCTGTGAAGTGTGGGTGTGTATGTGAGAGTCAGCAGTGTGTGTGTGTGTGTGTGTGCTTGTGCTTCAGTGTCTGCAGTATGGATAAGGGGCTGTATGTGTGTGTGTGTGTGTGTGTGTGTGTGTGTGTGTGTGTGTGTGTGTGTGTGTGTGTGTGTTTGCGGGCGAGCGTAGTACACACCCCTTCACCACTGGATAGAAGGACTGACCCAAAACAATTGAATGACAAAAACAAAGAGAGGGGGCATGGTGAGAGCGCGGGGGAGGGTGGGGGACCTGCCCCTTTTGGCCCCCAAATGTAGTCCTTTTGTATGCAGATACCCCCAACAATAAATCCATTTCTGAGGTGGTCTAATCTGTGAGGCCAGCTAATAGAGACATTGTCTGCCCTGGAAGAGGATTACTTTAATCTAGTAATGGTCTGCCTTGGCCTATGGTAGGGGAGCATGGTGCCATGAGGACTCCCTTTGTCCAGGGGGGCAGTTGCCCCCATTCCTCCCACTGACCCTCTCTGCTCTGTCTACTGTACTCAAGCCATCTGGAGAAACTGAAAACAAAAAAACTGTTCCACCACAACAGTAGTCCCCTCACAATCACAAGGATATGAGAATGGAAGATGAGAATCTCCCCCACCCCCTCTACTTTAGTTCAGTCCGATAATGAAGATCTCTGAATACTAAGCAAAGTCTGATAAGTAATTGAACATGAGGTTTCAAAAGGTGCTTAAGAGAGGAGGAATCCCAAGTAATATCTTTAAGAGTGTTTCATGGCTTTCTCAAAAAAAAAAAAAAAACTCACAGCCCGGGGATATGGTGTAAAAGAAGTGTAGGAGGACAAGGGTTCAGTCGGTGTGATGTTTAGTTTGACAATGCAGCCCGGAGGCACTGTCGTTGATGAGTTGTCGAACATAAAAAGGTCTCAGCCATTCGCTAAAAGCTGTATGACAATAACATTGCCATATATTTGGAGACACGTTCTCTCCGTTGGGACAGACACGAACTGGTTGAATCGATTCAGTGGCTAGCTTTGCACTTAACTGGCTAACAGTAGCTACTAAGGGTAAGTTATAACCTACATGTGTTTTTGTTTTGTTTTTACATACTGGTAACCAGAGTCGTTCAAGGGAATTCGGGACATGGGTGACTAGTTAACGTTAGCTTGGCTCTCTGTGTGTTCGTGCCGTGGGAGGAGGGGTTAGCTCGTTGGCAGAGAGCAATGGCTAGCTAGTATGCTAACTATTCTAGCTAACTAACTGGCTGAATAAGTTGACGACGTACTCACTCAAACTGTCAAAACTAACCCAAACTTTACACAACGTTAGATCTGCTTGGCGTGTTAAAACACTGGTGGTTTGTTGTAACCGAGTATTGGTGCTAAACCGTGTTATTGGAGGCTGGCATGCTAGTTGGCTTTGGCGTCATAGGATTCGGTGCCCTGGACGGTTTTCACGGAAGAATACTGTACCAAGTTAGCTAGCTGAATAAACTAAGTTAGTCTATTCCTAGAAACATTGAACCACTGTAGTTTACAACAATTAGAATTTCTAAAGTGGAAGTTGGGAGAGTTATAATTGAGTGTTTCAGTGAAACGTAAGTGAGGGAGGCCCCGCTCTCTCGCTTTCCCAGATGTT